TCTCGGTCAATAACGCGCGATTAGCAAAAAAAAAAACTCCAGAACGATATACTGTCGAGAAATCCCGCGAAAACCTCTCTCAAGGCTTCGACAATTTTATTTATAATCGCTTTGTTACAAAAGACTTCCCCCGCGCGTGGACTACAGGGCGTCAATCCAGAAATCCGTTGTCCGGCACATTAATAGACCGCCTGCTCCCAAGGAATTCATATTTCCGTTGCGCGAGTGAGAAATCAAGGGGTGGTAACGCGGTACGATGCGAAGGTATTTACGCAACGCGTCGAGATCCGGTCTGTCTCACATCTGAATCGCGATAAATTGTCACTGTTGCAGCGGATCTCAATTTAATCTCGTGGAAGATCAGACGCGAATAAAAGTTCATTTATCTTTCATCGAAATTCATTAATTCTTTTTTGTGCTTCCTGTTTTGCTTTTTTTTATCTCGTCCTTATCGTGTTAACGAGTCGCTAAAAAAATGATTGCCTTGATCTCTGCATTCTTTTCGCGATTAACTGTAATCGAGTTTAAAGAGAAGTGAAGTAAATCGCGAAAGTGGACAATGCTGCCGGAGAAGATGGCATCTCTCCCGTCCTTTTTACATATTTTATCTCACTAACAAGTATTTTTTTTTTATACATAATTGACATTCCTTATCATAGACGCAATTTCATCCATTACATAGGACGCACAACTGCACCATCTTTATTTATAAAAAAACTAACAACGATGCTACACACACAAACACACACACACACTTAAATACACATAAGTACACGCATAAAAAAATTGAGTTGTGCAAATATGCGGTGCACAAGAATTATTCTTCAAACAAAACGTTTGTCTTGGATAAAACTGCTTATATTGCAATTTTTGTGTAGAACATTCCTTTCATGTGACGAGTTGTTTTCGTGCCAATTCGTATATGCGCACACATTGTCGTGTACACATAAATACATACACAGAGTGCATATACATCGTAATTGAATTAGATACGTTTGTGGGAATAATCTTTCTTTTGTTCGAGTCTCAGCACGTCTTACATCCCTTTTACAAATCATTAGAAGTTAGAAGTTGTAGATTTTAAAAAATTTAATTTTGTACAATTTTTAGAATGTTCTAGACGACACAAATCATTTATAAAAATTTTGATTTAATAATTATACGGTGTTACATTGCTTTTTACCCGAAACGTAGCAAATTGCAAATTTAGTGTGATCGTGATATTTATTTTTATTTGAAGGAATCAGTTTTGCTTTATTCAGAGAAGTTATTCACGTGAGTGCAATGAATTCGCACAGTATATACAACACACACATTCATATTTACATAAAGAATATTCCACAAGTTTCGAATTAATCGATATTGGAAGGTTCTACGATGAAACTATCTTCAATTAATAGTCACGGGCAAATAGCAGTTGAGATAAAACTCGTTTAATTTGATTTTACTTAATTTCTTATGAATTAAAAACACAAAATTTTTTTGAAGTTAATTCAATGTTGCTTTATCTCGATAAGATATTTTTTAAATAATGTGATATCACAAGTTTTAGTTTTACTTTGACAAAAATGTGACTTTGAAAATGATCAAAGTACTATTTTCTGTATTTAGTATCTATCATCATTTATTTATTTCATTAATATATCAATTGATTGCCATTGTCGTCAGTCGATCCGTGTGAATTATTGAAAGATTTCAAAATGTTATTTATTAAGACACATGCATTAGAGTTGTGATATAGATTGGCTTATTTTAAACGTTTAAAAATTAAAGATTTTGCTTTGCCACACTTTATTCTTCTCTTGACGTGCGAGTTTTCGTCGAATCTCCATTTATCACTCGACCCACACAATTCACGTTATTTTATATATATATACTGTATAAACAGGTCTGTTTAATGGCGTCTATTAATAATAATACGCTTCTCTTTAAAAAAAAAGTGAATGCCTGGAATTGTACTACAGATATTTGTCCTGTATGGCACATGCAACACTCATGAGCCTCTGACACCTGCTTGCTGATGGGACATTAATCACTAAAGATCAATAGTGATCGGTACAAATAATACCACCGTAACTATGTAATCGGAATTTCGTTTATGTAATCTTTCTCATTTTACCGGTGCTAATGTGGTGGCAGGTGCACACCCAGGCTGCCTGTCTGAAAAAAAATTGCTATAATGTTCGGAAATAACGCAATCCACATACGTGTGTAACGGTAGCGATTAACAGATACTGATCGATCATCGATTCTTTCCATTTGATCGTTTCTTTTTCTTTTTTTTTTTTTGTTTGGCTGATATCTGACACATACAGGCAGCTATACGTTCTTTTTATGACCGCCGCGGGGTGGACGCATCAGTGAACCATGGGTTAATCGATTAAATTTTTCGTGCGCGAATGCAGCAACGTGTATTTATTTTATTAATTGAAGATCGAGATTTTCGATCGTTATCAATTTCGAACGTATGCCAGTTAAAGTTAACGACAAAAGTGGAGCGATAGAGGATCTCCAGACGATTGCTGGTTGCAATAAATGCGCTCGCTGGAGGAGCGTGTAATTAGGAACCGACAGAGAGTATCGTGCCCTCGTTCACTGACGCATTCAGCCTGACGCGAGTTATTACAGCGATGTGTAATCCATCGATTTGTACGACTTTTACGCGCGGCGGGGAGAATATCACGAGCCGTTATCGCTTGAGCAGAAACAAACGGGTTTAATTGTCATGGACATTCGTGTGATAACGAAAAGTTAATGCCGGGGCTTTTGATTCTCGATACGAACGTACCGATACGTTCGTTCTTTCGCGTGAATTCCGTTGGAATGATTGTCTTGTCATGACGCGTACAAGTCGAATGCTTCACACTAATAATATTACAAGTAACCGGTGCAAAGCAATGCTTCGTCGTCGTCGAATCTTCCCGGTTCGATCGATCTTATAATCGCGCGCGATCTCGGTGAAGCGATCATTAGAAGACAACAGTCCGCTCTCGTAAGCCGCGAGCGAGGAGAATCGAACACTCTAACGCATTCATTATGGAACTTATGTAACTTAATATCAATTTAACGGATTTTATTATCATGTTATAAGACGCGCGCACGAGAAACGGAAGCGTTGCTTTTCACCACTAACTTATATTTCTCTCAGCTGGCGAGCTACTAGATACTTAATGTTAACGTCGGTCAGTCATAATCAGATTACTAACAAACTGTTTTTCTTTTCTTTCTTGTTAACCCCGGTTGCCCGTGGCCTGTAGGCTTGGAGTGCTAACAATGGATATCCACTCGCCCCGTGCTAACACCTGGACTCTGGAACAGCATCCCGCGTTCGATCGGTTCACCAACCAGCCGACCACCTTCGCCGTCCGTCCGCGTCACCAGCCCCGTTCGTCAAGCTTATCCATCATCCTGTCTCCTCTTAATGTTAACGGAAACGTTTAGTTTCTCTCGCGCGTCCCGGCGAACGACGAAGTCGATTCGCCGAGTTTTGGAATCCGAGCCACTTCGCGTGCCGTCGACGGCACGAATAAATCGTCTCGCCTCGCAGAAAAAAAAAACAAAAGAAACGGTAGCGTTGCGAGGTGCATTAGCATAATATATAGAGATTTGGGACGCTATATACATTTTATATATTATATATTTATACGTAAATATATATTATATATTTCATATAGAATTTTCCCCCCGCACGCCTTTTTGCGAGAAAAAGAAAAGAAACGCAGGACTACTATTCCGGACTCGTTTTAGGTCGCGTGTCGGATATGCGCAATTCGAAATTCAGTGCACACAACGTTAGCGGTAGTAGTAGTAGTAGTAGTTTTATAATACCGTTAGTTTATCGGATATTTTTACTCCCCCCGTGGGGAGGGGGATTTCGTTGTAGCACGCGCGCGATGTGTCTCCAAAGTATTTTATTTTCTCTCTCTTCTCGCGGCAGCGATGAAAATGTTGTTCGCGTTTTTCCCAGTACTTACGACTACGCTGGCACCTCTCCGTCTCTGGAGGTGGCAGCGCGAGAATGTGACAACGTTAACAATAATAACTTAACGCAATGATATATTTACGCGCATTTTTAGAGCTAACTGCTGAAGGAAGGTGTCGCGCGAAAAAAAATCAAGCAAATGAGAAGAAAATTCGCGAATATATTCGTGAAGCGAGCTTTTCGAGAAACCTCGTCGGAAATGTTCGCGATTGATGCCAATTGAGCATCTTCTTCCTTTTTTTTCTCGTGCGACACACCTCTCACGTCGGAGAAACTGTCAAAATTCTGTACAACTCTCTCGCATAAATGTGCCTTATGTAATATTAACGTAGTGCGGTGTAGCCGCGTTACCGTTCTAGATAAAGCTTTGTTATCGATAGGCTCTACGTAGTAGCGTTTTTAGAACTGTGCAATCAAAATTTAACTTTCTCGCGATAATGTTGTATCCCTGGAAAGAGAAGGCTAGAACAACGCCGATTAGATTGCTCTATCCAACAGTCTTTCTCGTTACGTTGCGAGAAGGGCTGTTAGGTACACACACACACACACATCCGTAGCTAGATTCACGAATATCCCGAAGATAAGGCTTTAAAGAGGTATGCGCCGTACATGCGGATGCACATGAGAGCTACATGTATATATTGTTTCAGCTGAAAGTATTAAGAGAAGTGTTATTCGCAGAGAGAATATTCTAGGACGTCAATGTGCAATACGTTGATGAGAGAAAAGTCATCCAAGATACGTTGCCAAGGTTCGTTGAATAAAATTGTTGATTTTAACTTTGCGAAAAAAGAAACTTACTGAATTAAAATCGCAGGATTATCAAGTAGATATACGTATATACATTTGCATAAATATATATAAAATCGTTGTCAGTATCATCGGGCAAAACGACGAAGACAAGAAACAATGGAGGTATCGGTATTGTACCTATATTGTTATAATTTTCTGCGCCGCGGAATTTACTCGCGAGATATTATTAATCATTATGAATATAAACAAAAAAAAAACGTATGTAATCTCTGTCTACATACATGCAAAGAGTGTTTGCGTGAGAGAGTGACTTACTTAATATCGACTTTATCATTATATTAGAGAGTTGCACCACTTTTTAGGTCTGCCATATTGTACATGTAACAATTAAGAAACGAATATCAAGTTGCACGCGTTATATAACTTCTGTATAGTCAGTTATGTGTCAAATGTTATACTCGTTCTTTCGACAGATATTTTTGAACTTTTTGTCCGAGGAGTCCCTCCTAGATGTAGTAGCAGCCGATAGCTCGGTCCTTCGTGTATATATAAGCGTTGGAAAAAAAAAAGTATACACGCACACATTTAAGAGTGATCTGAAATCTACTTAAGTTCTCAACGTAAAGAAAAAAATAACAAATATATCCGATATATATATGTATATATACATATATATATATATATATATATATATATTTTATTATTGTACGTAAATAATTGATTTTATGAAATATTTTGGATATCATTGTCCTCCATTAAGTGCGATCTTACAATTTACGAATTATATTACGCGCATTCGCGAGCGTGATTATACACAGAACAGATATGTATACTCTTTATGTATATGCTGTCTAATACATATAACGCGCGTGAGAACGTAAATTATTACACATGTATACACATAATGTATTATACATATGCACTGACACTCAGTTGAATATCCGGACGGTGTGAATAAGTACCGCTGTAATTTTACTTCTGCGTTTTCCAACCGGCGAATATGTTGATTGACTCTTGTTATAATTTTGCAAAGAGAATCAATTTTAATATTTGCGTTGTTTCAGAAAGAATATGATAGTTTATACAGTTCGTATAACGTTATCGCAGCGTTGCGGTTATCGATTACATAAACGTCCGATCTTTTTTTCATTATTTCTTAATTCTTTGAGATTATTATTATTATTATTATTATTATTATTATCATCATCGCAGAAGTAAACGCCGGCGTGATTTATTTACACCCTGTTATCGTATTTATAAATGTATACAGATAAGTTACATAAGAAATTATATATGTGCAAGCAATCTTGTTAGATCTTACGGCATGCGAATTTACATTTATTATTCTATATAGTTATATAGTTTTTTTGCCGAAATTTATTGTATATGATAATTTTTTAGTTTCATATTTTATTTTAATGTTGATATATGTGCAGGATATGTGGCAATATTAATGTGTAAGTGACAATGAAAAGCAATTCTGTTTTCTGAAATCTCGGAAAGATCTGATTACGAATCATAGTATACTGTACGCTACTTATGGAAGAAAATTTACAATTTACAATGAAAAGTGCAAATAAAATAGTTTATACAAACATGTATAAATACTATGATGAACGGTAATAAAAATATTTTTTCAATACTCGACACTTCCTTGACACTCGAAATGATAAGTACAAGTTTCCGTTTTATCGATGTATATATGCATATTTTAATAAGCTATCAAAAAGTAAATGGACATTTCACGCAGAATATTTACATTAGCTTTATTTCTCTGTTGAAAGCGATATATCCTATGTACAAAAAATATCATTTAATATAATATCATAAATAATTTTCTTACTGTTACAATCAGTTACAAGTAACATGGAGAATCTCTTTATTCCTTTACGACTTCGGTAATCGATAGAAACTACCGGAGAGCAACAGTTGATGTTCCCTGACTTTTCTATCCAGAAACTGCCTCAGTTCCGGTAAACCGCACTCCACGGCGCCCGGTCCTTGCGACGCGAACATTTTCAACATCTGATGAATCCTCTCTATCGGCAGTGAGTCCAGATTCGTCAACATCCCGACGATGTACGACCAGAACACCTGCAGCTCCTCCTCCCTCTGATCGCTCGCCGAGGCCATTGCGCTCTCAGCCTCCTCCTCCTCCACAATGTCCGCCGACAAACGGTTCTTAGATATACTCTCCTCCTGCAGAACAAACACGTCGGTGGAAGTCTCCTTCAGCAGGCCTTGCGACACCCAGAATGCCATCTTGCGTCGCAGAACGGTCGCCGGTGCGTGCATCACCTCCGCCAGATCTTGCAAAGTCCACTCATCTGCAAATTGAATTCAATTTAAAAAAAAACGATCGTTTCGCTATACTTTCGACTCGATTCAAATCAACGCGTTGATCTCACTTTTATCCTGGAAGTGCAAAATAATGGTCGCGTGCACCGGCGTGACGTTTATATCGAGCTTTCTGTCCTTCAATTCGATTTCCAGGCTCACGTTTCCCAAGTGAGGCTTCCAACAGAGCGTTCTGTTTCCCTTCAACGCCTCGAACGCCTTGACGTATTTGTTCAATTGATTCTGCACGATGCTCGGCAGTTTCAATTTCCAGTCTTCCTTGAACGGCGGCCAGAATTGCGCCGATAAAATGAGCGCGGAGGTGGGGAAGAGTTCCCTCTGCAAGTTGTAACTGGTATCGGAGTGAATGTTACCATCTATCCTCTTCGAATCGTAAACATCCTTCAGCATAACTTCGCAGTAATGCAATTGGTTCTCCCCGAATCGTCTCTTCAACAACTCCAAATGACGTAACTCGCGTGCGGTATGATAATTGAATTGCGAGAGCAGTCTGTCCGCCAGCAATGTGCGATACTCGTTGACGAATAAGTCTTGGCTGCCGTAAACGTTCACCAGCGTGGAGATGATGTCGGACACTTTGCGCTGTGTCGATTTAGCTGGAAGAATAATTTTAAATTTTTATTGAAAAAAGAATTCATTAAAAAAATCTTAAATATTTCGGTTGACCATACAAATGTTGCAAGTATTGTTTGTGATTCAATTTCGACTAAAAGATCTTAATTTGGAGAAATATATAAATTTTTAAATCTAGCTCAGAAATATAGGATTACAGTGATAAATGCAATTTAAAAGAGCACGGATTTTTTTCGCGCTCGAAGCCAATCATAGATGGAAATTTTGCGGTTTACCGGGATCAGCATCGACCGGATCCGGCATCCATTTCTCCCAATCTTCAGTATCATCGTCCGCCGAGCCGTCGTCCAGCTGCAGACACTCGCCTTTCTCCAATTCATCGGCTAACTCGCTGGATGAATCATCAAGCAGGCTATTAACGACGGAACGTACGGTGTCCTCTCTACTCCTCAAGTAGCACCTGTAGAATAAATCGAACTTGATAAAAAAAAAAACTGAACTTCCTAGTATGCCATATTAAATTCGGATTATGGATCGCAATTTTAATGCGACAAAACAAGGGATCTCACTTGATAGGCTCCGTTACGGCTTCTAGAAGAACCCCGGTTGGGTCGAGGTGCTTGAGCGCTTTGATCGCGGCGATATAAGCGGTTACTATATCCGGGGTATTCACACCGGCGTGCAGGAGCCTCGTTTTAATCGCCTCCTGCAGATTTTTAACCAGAACGTTTCGTTTATCGGTCCTTTCTAAACAGACTCGGAGATCATCCACCGCGGGCTGCGACTCGGGATATTCTAGAGAAAAAAAAAGTAATATGTAATGGTATATAAATTGCAAATATGAATCGTAATAAATCTTTCTAGATATATGAACTAAATGTACCTATTATTATATTAAAGAGATGATCGATTCTTATGTTAGTGTACGTTTCGTACAGGAAGTGAGACAATTTCTGCTTGAACTTGTTTATGGCGTTGCGAACGTCGTCGCTAAGTGCCACCGTTTTCGAGAAACCGCCGGAATAAACTCTTATCAGCCAATTCATGACGACAGTCTCGAGCCACTAAAAAAAAAAATGCAATAACGATCCATAAAGGTGTTATTATTGTATAATTAAATTATTTATCATTAATTTAAATTATTGTACAATAGTTCTGTTATATAAGAGAGCTAACTTACATTTTCTAACGAGATCAATTGCGAGACGTCGAACGTTTTATCGCACGTTTGAATTACATGATTCTCGATACGAATGTGGATTAGCGATGTGAGCACGTTTCCCACAAGCCTTTCCAACAGCTCCAGCTCGATTAATTTTCTGTTCGTCTCGTGAAACATGTAAACTATCATCTGGCAGCGGCAGTTCTCCATTTCCTGACCACATCCTGTACACTGGATCTCGCTGATCGATACGTCTGCTTTAAAACGTACATTTCCTATTTCATATATTTCCGACAAATAACAGACACAAATAATAAAGATAAATATTTGTGCGATTTACCCTGCGACGTGTTATCCGAATTGCAGAATACGTTGAACGCGATTTTATAAAAGTGTTCTATGATACATTCATGGCACAGAGGTAGTTGGCTCAGTAATGTCGCTCTCACGATGAGCTTGAATCGCGTCTCTACATCTATGTCGTCCTCGGCGCTCGGCTGAGACGTCTCGCTTCTGTTCTGTCTTAAGTACTCCAGCTTCTTTAGAATCGGCAGAAACTCCGTGAGACTGGCGTACAGACCGTCAACGGCGGACTTGAACAATTCAAAGCCCCGCTGGCCATCCTCCGTGTACTCGAACTTCTCCCAGAACGACGGTGCCACGTGACAACGGATGTATTGTTCTATGTTATGAATCACGATCTCTATTATATACTGCGTCGTCTTGAGGAACTGCAGAACCTCGACTAAATTTGCAAATTCCTCCTCCGTGCACTCCTCTTGAATCTAAAAAAAGAAAGATTATCATGCAGAGAATTAGAGAATTAGGAATTAGAGAAATGAATCGCTGAAAGATTACATACCTCACAATCAGTATAATGGAAATATATTACACAAACTGTTTTTTTTTAGTTATATATATTGTAATCTAATTTAAAAAAGACACGTATTCATTGAAACTTCAAGTATGTATTAAAGATGCAAATTCCTGAATATAATATCAAAATTATCTGAAATAATCTATTTGTCTAAATCTAAGTACTTAAATTATCCACGTAATCAGAATCGTAATAGCCAATGTAATATAAAGTCTAGTTAAAGTAATATAAAAATCTATGAAAAAATTCATAAATTCACGAATTACAGAAAGAAAATCAATTGCAAAATGTAATAAATTTATAAAAATTATATAAAACTTTTTCTTGTACATTTATTCATTAAACAAATGTACATTTATTAGCAAATTCGGGCTGTATTTACATTCTGGTATACTCATGTTTTTGAGGTTACGATTTCACATACCGTGATTCATCGTCGATACCGTAAAAGATATATTTTATTGATGAAAAAGCAAATTTGTAATACTCAGTGTATAACATATATTGTACTTACCTTTCCCTTAATTATTGGAAATACATATTCCAACCGGTCGAAGAAATTCTGCTCCTCCTCTACCACCGCCATGTTTAAATACTAATGGCACCAGGCACATGTAAACAACGTTGAATGTTAGGTTATATTTATGTTAGGTTAGGGTTTACGATCATCCGGATCATCAGGAGAAGCAAAACAAGAAAGAGAGAAGTATAATAGATTTTTTGGAGTTCTTTTATACGTTCGAGTGACTTCGATCAAATTTCGATTAGCTTGTCGAGTAATATAGTATTTCAGCAGTATTTCATCAATGTGATATAATTAATTTTTCATTGCCTGACACCGAAAGTTCTAATCAGAGACATAATACGAATCAGAAGTTTTGCCGCAGGCAACTTTGCCGGTTGATCGCCAATGATTAAGTTAATCAAATGTCGATCGAGGTCGTCGTCGGAGAGAATTAGCGATACCGATGACGGAAAAGTGCACGTCTTTATTTTCAGAATCGCAGGATGAGCATGAATAAATTTTCATTCAAGTACAGGAACGTGATTCTGGGTGTGACCGCGACCGCCGTTGGATACTGTGCGGTCCTCATGCCGCACACCATCCTCCTGGAGAAGTACAGATACATAGTGGCCAGATACCAGTGAGTAGCGGATGTTTTCAAGATTCGCATTCCCATTCCGAGTCTGTTGACTTGACATCCTCTTTCCCCGAACGCGCAGACTAGGCAAGGAGGTGCCGTTGGGCCCCGAAGTCCAGCAGAGAATCCAGCGGGTGATGGACGACTTGAAGCTGCCGGACGACGTTAGGAGCGCTATAAAGCCCTTCAGCGTGTTCGGCTTCGATCTGCTCCACGCCGGCACGCTCGGCGCCAAGTACGGCGCGATACTGGGGATTCCCGCCAACTTCACCAGCACGACGGAGGAGCTCCGCGAGAATCTGCAGATCAGGGAGGAGCCGATAGACTGGACGCGGCAGGACGCGCGGGCCTTCCTGCAAGCGGTGACGTTCTCCGAGAACGCGGAGAGATTCGCGATAGCGCGTGAAATTCTGCGCATCCAGGCGCAGGAGCCGTACTTCAATTCGCTCGCGCTGGTGCTGACCGTCGCGACCCTGTGGACCCTCTCCAGCGTTATGTCGCGCCGATTCGTCAGGCTGCGCGAGAGCAACGCGCTAGCGCGGCGTATGTTTTACGCGGTCTTCGCTCTATTCGGTGCGATACTGTGGTTCGGCGTGAAGGACTTTCGGAGCAATCGTCTCGACAGGGAGAACGACGAGGCCCTGTGCCGCTTAGGGGCCGATTACATCAAGGGCGGACAAGAGTTCTATGAGAAAACGTTAATCAGAAACCAAACTCTGAGGACTCTCTTCGAGACGGAAGGGAAAAGTATATATACCGTTTACGGGAACGAAGAGAGCTTCCTGAGACAGAAGCACGTGCCGCTCTCCCACAGGAAGGATTTCTTCGACTCGCATCTACGAAATTTGGAAGGTATGAAATAAGTTGATTTCTTTACATCTAGAATTTTATAAGCATTTTTTTCACCATCCAAAATCCTTGAATGAAAAAATCCTTGAATCAAATTTTTAACGATGCCAGAGTCTCTCGCAGTTTTCTACTTGAAACATATTTTTTTATTTATGTAATTAACAAATAAATGCATGGGTCTACCATTTTGTACGCGTAAAAAATAGGATGGAACGTTTATGTGATGAAGTATCTCGTGATCGGACATTTAATGTATAGAAAAGAAAAAGCTGTATATATATTTCTGATGTTATCAGTTAAGCTGATTGTTGATAAAATGCGATATCTGTAATAAACTACTTGAAAAACAGCATTCATTAGGAATATGTGTTATTAATTACATTATATATATATATATGCACAGTCTCTAGACTAATTGTAAGTATTATACTTATAACATTACGACGTCCTTAACGTAAAAAGCGTTTGTCATCGCGCAAAGATACATACTTCAACGCATGTGTCCCAGCACATGGTTGTCTTTCACGCGACAAAAATCACAGGTAAGAACACATTTTGTACATTATATATTTCTATATTATATATAAGCCTTCTCACATACGATAACATTCTGTTAAATTAATATTTATAAAAATCTGCAAATTTTACATATTGTAGCTAGTTTGTACAAATTCTTGTTTCTTCATTATACAATATATATATATATATGTATAGAACCGAAGGTACAACTCGCGCGTGCGACCTGTAGAAACCTAGGATACACAGGCAGAGAAACACGTCAATTGCCTATAGAATTCTTCTATACAGAAAAGTCGTACATCTCGGACTACGTGAGACCAAGCGACCCAAACTGAAAAAAAAAAAAAGATTCGTAACGTGAATGCTAGATACATACATACTAAGTTACGTAGAGAGATTACTTCGTGTGCGGCTTCGCTTACCAGAGTTAACTTATCCTCCTCCTTCTTAAGTATCTTCGTGGTTTGCTCTTGATCGAACTTGACGACGGCGGCGATCACTCTGGCGAGCACCATCGTCTCCCTTCCCATCATATACTCGAACAGAATATTCCTAAGGTACTCGATCTCCGTCGAGTCTTCCAGTGTATCGTGCCGCAGGTTCACCAGTTTCCTGAGCTCGGCGATTTCGCGCCTTTGAGACGTCAGGGTCTGCTGCATGGTGTGAATCGAGCCGGTGCTCGTTTGTATTGCGGCCATCGCCACGCGCGAAGTGCTCTCCAATTCCTGTGAATGAAATTCCCATGAAATTTCAATTCAACTCGGAACTCATTGTCAGTTATCTCATTAAAGCCCGGTTCCACAAATATAAAATTAACTTTAAACTCGGTTTACTGTTTATCCCTTTCTAAGGCCCATTTCTACCAATGTAGATTAACTTTAAATCTCGGTTGAATTTATTCTTTATCTTCTTCTAATTCTTAGAATTAGAAAAAGACAAAAATTAAGTTAAACCGAGATTAAAGTTAATCTACATTGATAGAAATGGACATAATTCTTAAATTAGAAAAAAAATAAGGCGAGTTGAACTTCGGTTAAATCGAGTTAATGAATTGTAAAACCGGATCTAAGCAATGCAATGCGCTAGGCGCTATGTAAAAGAAGCATACATAGAGAAAAAGCTATGATATGATAATGACTTTAGGCGTTAAAGAAAAATAAATGAAATAAAACTTTACCTCGGAAGCTGCGTCAGTCTGTGCATCAGGCTGAAAATAATGCGAAATACGTGAACGCAAATTAAAAAGTTGAATTAAATTAAAAAAAAAAATAAACATAATACGCACGTGCATATGAATAAATTGTCATTTAAACATATATATATATATCTAAGCAAATAAAATAATTAAAAGAATATATAGCGCTAAATTAAATTATACTTTTTTAGATTACGCAAAATTACCTTTCTTTCGTTCTGCCATTCTTTTGTTAGTTCATTCAATTCATCGTCGTGTTTAACTTGCAGATTGTCGATTCTCTGCTGCACTATAGCCTTCCACTTTTTCTCTATTTCTTTTATCTCATTAGTGTGCTCCTCTTTAATCTGCACGATTGTTTTTACTAAGCGCTCAATATCCTTTCCCTTCTCCGCTACCTCGTCCTTCTTCTCCAGAGCGAGGCTCTCGAGCTGCTCGGACTTCTCTGTCAGCTCTATTTGACAGTCTTTCAATTGTTCCTTATACTGCTGCACAATATTCGACTCGAAGTTGTGTTGACGATCTACGTAAAAATTAGATACTGATTATATATTGGAAAACGTTAATCAAAATTCTTTTGTCTTATTACATATAAAAAAAATATACATATTTTCAAATAAAATAGCGTCTCACCGAAACGTTTCTCCAACGCGGCTTGGAGCTCCTCTTCCTTGTCGTGCAACTGAGCTTGGAACTCTTTCACCAGCTGCTTCAGCCTCATTCCTTGTTCCTCCTCGTTAGTCTTCAGCTGTTCCCTCAACTGATTAGTCTGCGATCTCAGTTCGTTGCTTGCCAACTGCATCTGCGTCTCTTTCGCTTGGAACGTAATCAACGCTTCGTCGAGTTGTGCCTCCAATCGCTGATTCTCCTCGCGCAACTTGTCGCTATCGAGCTGCAGGCATTTTGCGTCTCCGTTCTCGCGGATGGTTTCCAATTCTTTTCGCAGCGCATCGTTCGTCCGTACGAGGGAATCGATCTCCGACTGCAGGCCAGCGGTCTTCTCTTCCGACAGCGCGAGCGAGTTTCTCAGCGTGTCCGCGCCCTTTCTCCTTTCGTCGATTTCGAGGGAGAACCGTTTTAAATTCCCAATCTCTTGCGACATGTTGGATATCTTATCCTCCAATAATTTTATCTCCGCGTCTTTCGCCGTCAGTGAATCCTTCAGGGCGCCCACCTCCGACGACGAATCCTTCGCGGACTGCAGAGCGTCGATCTCCGACTGCAGCCTACAGTTTTCCGTCCGCAGAGCCTCCAAGCTGGACACCTTAGACTGTAAATTATTTACATGAGTCCGCAACTCCGTGCTGCTGGAGTTCGCACTCTCCAACTCGGCAATTCTGTCCTTCAGAGCTTTCCGCTCGGCGATCAGCACGTTGTACTCCGAACGTATCGCCTCGGCGTCGGAATTCTTTCGGATCATATCGCCGAGCTCCGATTTCAGCTGTGCATTCTTACCCTCCACATCTTTCATTCTTTCAACTTCATCCCTCAGCGACTTCAACTCCGCGGAAAGCCGCTCGTTCTCCTCTCTCACGAGGTTGCCGTTTGTCACGGCTGTGTCCAACTCGGAAATTTTACCCTTCAGCTCGGTGTCCCGCTCGTCGAGTTTCTCTTTAATTCCTCGCGATTCTCTTTCGCTCGCCGTCAATCGCTCGCTAAGCGAATTCAATTCCGCATCTTTACGTTCGAGCTGCGCGTTAACGTCGCTTAGCTCATTGCTCAGACGTTCAGCCGCCTCGCTCTGACTGTTCAGCTGAGACTTATACGATTCCACGTAACTCTTCACCGTTCCACGCAGTGCCTCGATCTCCTTCTCGTAGTCGGCGATTTTCCGCTTCAGATCCTCGTCGTCTTCGCGCAGCTTCTGATTACGGCTCAGCAGATCGTTGTGCTTGTCCTTCAGATCTTTGTTCTCCAGGGTGATCGTCGCGAGCTGAGAATTTTCCAACTTCAGCGACTCCATCTGCTTCTCGGTGGTCTTCAACACGCTGGACAATTCCGCCTGCCGAGACTTCGCTTCGTCAAGCTCGGCTCGCGCCTCCTCGATCGTTTTACCTTGCCGCTCCTTGATAGTTTTCATCTTCTTCAACTGCACGAGCTTCACGTTCACCGTTTCCTGCAACACCTTGTTGTTCTCCATCAACTCGGCAATTTCCTTCGCGTGATTCTCCCTCGTCGCTTGGTACTCCGCTTCCAAATTCAAATACTTCCGCACGTGTTCCTCGATCGTCTGTATGTGACTGTCGCAAGTGGCCTTTAAATGCACGACGTGCTCCTCCTCGCTCGCCAGCTTCTCGTCGCGTGTCTTTATCTCGCCCTCCTTCTCCGCCAGATCGCTCTTCAAGCGAGCGATCTCCGATCTCGTGGCGCGCAGCTCCTCGCGCAGCGCGTCGTGATCGCTGCTCTCCGACTTGTACGACCTAATGACTTCGGTTGCCTCGCGTAACTTCACTTTCAATTCATCCACCTCCTTGACGGCACGACTGGCTAGCGCATGCTTCTCCCTCAGATCGTCGATCTCGACGGACAACGCGTGATTTGCAGACTCAAGATTCTCCAACGCCCTTAGCCGTTCTCGCAGGGCCTCGACTTCCCGCTGCGACTGCGTCAACTCGCGCGACGCCGCCTCCAGATCGTGAATTTTAAAATTGAGATTATCGATCTCGGCGATCAATTTGTTGTTCGTTGTATTGAGTTCGTCGTACTGGTCGCTCTTCAGCGTCATCTCTCTCAATCGTTCGTTACTCTCCCTCAGTTCCGCTTCCAGTGCGAGTTTGCGATTCGTAACTTGCGCGAATTCCGACTGCAACTCTGCCTCTTTGAGCGTAAGCTGCTCCAGATCGGTTATCTTCGAACGCATTTCATCCACTTCGGATCGCAGTGTTGCGTTCTCCTCTTCGAGCTTTGCAAAAGATACGGCAAGGGTCGCGTTCACGTCCGATAACTTGGCCTTCTGACTTGAGAATTCCTCCGTAACGACACTTTTAACGTCCATGCAGTCCTGCTTTAAACGCTGCGTACAATCGTTGTAATAAATAAGACGATTTATCAAATCGCTCCTCTCTTTCTTCAGTAAATTTATAACCGAACTGTCCGCCTGAATCTTGTTCTTAAGGTCGTCGACCGTAGATCTGCAGAATTCCAATTCACTTTGCATCGCGCTTAATTCCATCTTTTTGTTCTCCAGCTCTTCTCGCAGCCCAGAGAGCTCCTGCAATTTGTCATTCAGCGATTTTATCTCCGCTTCCTGCTCGGTCAATTTATGCTTAGCCATTTCGACCAGGCCCGTGTACTGTTGGACCTTTTTATTATAATTTTCACACACCTGATCCCTGTCGATCAACGCGCTCCTCATGTTCTCCAGTTCCTTGTCGACGCTCTGCACCGTCGCTTGGAGCTTCTCGATCGTCGAGTCGGCGTCCTTCCGTTTCTCCTCCGCGACAATCCTGTGCGCATCGTACTCCTGCTTCAGGTCCGAATGTGCGGTCTTGCAAGCAAGCAGTTCGCTCCGCAGCGTTTCCCTGTATTCCACATTTTGCTTCTCTATCTCGTCCAATTTATGCTGCACTTCCTGCAACTCGGCTTCCTTCTCCTGCAAACGAAGCGTCACTTCGTCCAGCCTGTTCTCGTCTTCCGTTCCCGTCCCCTCACCGTGATCGATTTTCTCGGGGCGACGTTTCGCTTGTCGCGCAGATTTCGCTGCTTCGACCTTCTCCTTCGGCGCGTCGTGTGCCGTCGCGCTTTTATCCGCGGCTACACTCGAATCAGCACGCAGGGACTTCAGTTCACTCAACTCGGCCTTGTATCTCGCCACCGCCTCGTTTGAAGTCTCCTTATCTTCCGTCACGTGCTTCAGGTCGATTCGCAGCTGCTTGATCTGCTCCTCCTTCTCCTCGAGCTCCCTGTGCACGGAGAGCTTGTTCTCGGCCAACGAGATCGCCGCTTCCTCCTCGCGTCTGTGCAAAGTGTCTATTTGTTCGGTCAGTCTCCCAATCTCGGCACGCGCCTCGCTCAATTCACCCTCCGTCGCGCTTATCCTCTCGGCAGTGGAATTCTTCAGCGCCTCGTGATCGTTCTCCAAAGTGTTCTTCTCCTTCATCACCTCCACGAATTTCTCCTTGTTACGCTTCAGGGATTCCTTGTACTTCAAAACGAGGCTCTCCAGCTTCTTCAGCTTATCCTTTAACTGAGCATTTTCTACCGACAGCGCGTCACTCTCCTCGTTAGACGGCTCGTTCGTCAGATCGATCAGATTCGCTTTAGAAATCTCCTTAGGTTGAGCGTCTTCCGTCACCGAATTCTCTAACGTCGGCCCGCTCGCTTGCAACAATTTTATCTTTGTATTTAACGTATTTATAATGTGATCCTTCTCCTCTATGTCGTTCCTCAGCACGTCCTCCAAGTGCGCCTTCGCCTGCTGCTCTAATTGACATTGCTCCTTTAGGTCGGTTATCCTCCTTAGAACCTTGTCCTGCGTCTCGACCAACACGGACTCCAGTCTGCTCTTCACTCGGTCCAATTCGCGATAGTGCGCAGCCAGATCCGTATACCTGCCGCGATACTTGTGATACTTGGTTTGCACCTTTCGGTAAGCAGAGTACAGCTGATCCTTCGTAACTCTGTCGAGATGAGGACTGATATTATCGTCCACTTCGCTAGCCGACTGATCCATGTCCGACTGCAAAAGCAAAAAAAAAAACTATCAGCGAGAGAGTTAGGATCAATTAATCGTCGATAGGCGATTTCTAGCGCGACGAACCTGTAAATGATATAAATTCGGAGGACTCTCGTACATCGGAAACAACGAGGATGCGTCGCTGGTGATGCTGCTCACCGAGGATCTTCTCGAGATCTCCGCGCGATTCGGCGACGGTGACATCAGGTCAACATTTTGGAAGCTGTGTTTCGCCGGAGTGTTCTTTGGCGTTTCTGCAAAATGAAGAATTCCATAATCATCTACAATCAAAGTATTCTACATGCAGAACATATATATATTAAATACAGAATACTATTGTATTATCCTGTATGTACTGCGTCGTGTATGGTAATATTTATAAAATACTGTACAGGATGCGTCGTCAGAAACAGACTGCTTATGTACAGTCGTGGACACATCGGTTGCAACACATTTTTTTTATAGGTTTCTAATATATTTAATATACATAATATCTATTTTATAGATAACTAATATTTTGCAAATGCGAACCACGATGTACTATCTTTAGTCTAGAGACAGTATAACACCAATCGTGGTCCCCATTTGCAAAATATTAATGCTTTTTGAAACCTATAAAAAAGAAAGTGTTGCAACTGATGTGTCCATGACTGTACATATACAAGTCTCTTTGAGATCCTTTGTGTCTCCGGAGTAGAAGTGTCCTCATTCTGGCGACTCATCCTGTACATGCCAAATCTTCTCTGTACACCTGGTGGTAAAACTCGCCAAGGCGAGATCAAGATACACTTACCGTCCCCATCCTCCGTCAGACTGAAATTGTCATTCGACGCCGACACTTCCTGAATGGAGCTGTTGGACAGGGCCGGCGACACTACTGCCTGCAAGAAACAACAACAAAAGAAGAGTTCAATTGGAGATCGTCACTTTCGTAGAATTGCGTTCGGAGCGAGAAGAGGGAGAGATTGAGAGAAGAGTGTGACCTGTGCCAGTTGTTGCACGCTCGCCTGCAGCCTCGCGGGCGACTGCTTCATCTCCTCCGCGAGCTTGTCCTTGAATTTCTTGAACATCCTGGCGTTGTGGCTGTCGGAAGCTGCGGTCGGTGATAAGCGCGCGATACGCGCCCTCACAAGCGAAATCAGAGTCCTTCCGCGACGGTGGTTCGCGCGCGACGTACAGTAACGGCACGCTGTTTACGTGGACTCGGGCGGTCGGGCACGGTGGCGCGGGCACGGGGAATCCGGACTGCAGCGGGACGGTCCGGCACTGGGGACATAGTGGACACCGGAGACGCGCCTCCTCTCTCTCTCTCACTCACGCCGCTTCCTCGCGAGAACACCTCCGATAAGGATAAATCGAAACGAAAACGTCTACATTATTTGATTATCCCACGTATGCCAACTGACACATACAACATGCGTACATGGGTGTGTGTGTCGACCGCCATTACCGTGTGGGCGCTCGATGACGTCATCGGGCAACAGAGCCATCAGACGCCGTTTTCAACGTTGACTCTCTCTTGCATGACGTAATTGTTTTACAATTGCGGCAATAAAACGATGACTTAAAAAATCGTGATTTACAAAGAATGGTCTTTACGACAGTATTTGCCAAATTCCGATTAAATTAAACGCACAGAGATGTTGAGTGGCCGATAAGAATATTAAAAAATGTTCCAATACTTCCGCAGAGATATAACAGAGAAATAAAATTAAAACCCATCTAAAATAAATTGATAAAGCACGCTGGTAGATCAAAATACGCTAGTTGCGAACGACTTTCGAGGAATCGCAGGGGAAAATGAATTATGCTTTTAAGGTCAAAATGGCAAATGGATATTTAATATTTATTCAGACAACTTCGGCCGCCCTCGCGCCTCCTTTGTGAGTCTTGGACAGATACTCGGCGAACTCCTGGTACGGCGCCTTGGCCAGCGCCTGCTCCTTCCACAGGTCGGGCGTCAGGTACGCGTACGTCTTGGCGATCGCGGCGTACGTGGCCTTGGCGAAATTGCCGAGCGTACAGGTGGAGCCTCTGGCCGAGGTGTAGCAGTCCTCGATGCCGGCCATCTGAAGCAGCTTCTTGGGTACCGGAGCGGACACGATGCCGGTGCCCCTGGGCGCCGGGATCAGGCGCACCTGTACAGAGCCGCACTTGCCGGTGACCTTGCACGGCACCGTGTGCGGCTTGCCGATCTTGTTGCCCCAGTAACCGCGTCGTACCGGCACAACGGACAGCTTTGCCAGAATGATGGCGCCGCGGATGGCGGTGGCCACTTCCTTGGAGCACTTCACTCCCAGTCCGATGTGCCCATTGCTGTCTCCAATGGCGACAAAAGCCTGTGAAAGATGCTCATATCAAATATATATTTGTCGCACGTGATTTTCTCAATCGCGTGATCACTATTAGATTATTAAATCTTTGCTTTTCTTGTTCTAATTTTTTAATTGGTTATAACGTCCCAAAACAAAAAGAACTGCTCGTTTACCTTAAAACGCGTGCGTTGACCTGCTCTAGTTTGTTTCTGCACAGGCATGATCTTCAAGACCTCGTCCTTCAGATCCGGCCCGAGGAATCTGTCGATGATCTCGAACTCCTTGATAGGCAAAGAGAACAGGTAGATGTGTTCGAGCGATTGTATCTTGCCGTCTCTGACCAGACGGCCCAGCTTCGTAACCGGAACCCATTCCTTGCTGTCCTCCTTCCCGCGTCCGCGACCGCGTCCTCTGCCTCTGCCTCTGCCTCGACCCCTCAGGCCACCGCGATCTCCCGCGCCGCGAGAACCGAAACCTCCGCGAAAACCGCCACGTGCGGCTGGAGCAGCGTCCGCCATTCTGTTAAATAAGATACGATCAAGATATGTATTGAATCAGAATTAGGAGAATATAATTAGTGAGTCTTGAAAATTAACACCGGCATGTATATCTGAAATTTTGTAGTGATTAACCTAACCTAGCAAGCCAACACGTGGCATTTGAGAATTATACTTCGAGTCGTGACGAAAACCTTTCGTGCGAGAATATTTTTCTAATGTCTCCTACGACTGAACATAAAACGTATAATAAAATCAAAATTACTTTGTGTTTGTGACACAGATAATTGGAGAAAATTTCAGAAATATATGTTCACGTAAATACCTTATTGCGTAGAATTGCAGAAGAATCAGAAGAAAGTCATTGGGGTTGGGGAGAGAGTGGGGAAACCAAACTACAGAGTACAGGCCAATCCGCATCGCGAGATTTTTTTTCCCCACAGTGGCCACACTGTATGCGACTAGCGTCACTAGCGCGTAAAACCCTAAATCGATATTCGAGTATATCGAAGCCTATCGAACGTCTCGAAGTTCGAACGTCGCTGCGCTAACTTTATGAGCGGCATGGGTATGCATGTAAGCGATTAAAAATTGTTATTCTTCTCCGCGTTTTGTGCCAAAAAGTACAAGTACGGTAATAATTTCTGAGACTCTTCTGATAATAAAAAAAAATAAGTTTGTTCGGATTCCAGATGCGGAAGTGCTCCGTTCAGCCGAAAAAAACATTGCATATCCATCACGATTAATTAATAAAAATTGTTATTCGTTTTCGCCGTTGATCCAATCGCGTTGGGCCATAAGACTTTTCGTCAGAATTAACTCGTCAAGAACTACGTAAATACTCATAAATTAATATATAAACATATTAAATACTTTAAATGCATAAAAATTTGAGCACATGCTAAAAAATAATTTACACAAATATATGGATGGTATTAATAAAACGTTGACGAAAGGGACAAATTCTCGTTGACTTACAACAATTTTAATGACAAAGCACGACAGTACACATAATATACGAAAAGTTTCTTGTGGGCCCCAAAAAGCGTTCTCTACGTGTCACTTTAAATAGTTTAAATACATACGAGTCTTACGTCACGTAACATCTGATCTGCTGATATGCCACGTGGTCGATTGCGCGCATTCGGACGGAACGGAAGTAGTCTCACGATCCTGGGGATCACCGAGACCAATATGAAAACTCGAGCGATTGCTTCAGTAGGCAGACGCGCTTGACGTCATATCCGATATTTCAAAAACCGGGCACGTCTTATAACGACGGAAGAGTACAAGGCGACATTCACGAAGACGATTGATCGATTTATGTTGCTTTTATTGCTATCGTACACTTAAATAACGCTGTAACACTTGCCACAATATATAACATATATTGTCAATTATTATGTCCTCGGCGATCACCCATCAAACTCTCCGAAACATCCCGTCTCAGTCGCATTATCAACAATGTTATAGGACGATCCATAATCAAAAATCTGGGAATATAATATATATATATATATATTATATATATATATTTATATATATATATAAATGCTGAAGATGCTTCAGCTATTACAGAGGGCTCGCGTCTTCTTCCGCATATACAATCTTACAAAGTACACGTTGGAAAGGAACTGAAACTGCCGTTACCCATTACATAATTTCTCTCTAGTAGTAAAAAAGGAAATCCCGTCGTTTGCAACGTAGATGTAAAAACGCATCTGAAAAAACGAGGAGTTCAAGCTGAAGCTTTATTAATCGCATTAACAATGTTTTTGTTTTACTTCGTCGACATGAGTTGAGGACAGCTCGTTTTACAATAGTGCGGTGAACCGTTTATCCCAGTATCCCGGGATGTGACTCGACGAGACTCTAAATGGGTATATATATATCTCTTTCGCGCGGTACGCGATCGCGGTACCGCGGACAAATAACGCGCCCGCGTTAATTTCGCTCGCGTTTCCTCCTCGATCGGCCCTCGATGCGATACCTGAGTTATAAAAGTATATTATTGTACTGAGAGAGCGGGGGGGAGAGAGAGAGAGAGGAGACATATCGGGCGCACGGTGAGATGAGATCACACATCTCCGAAATGCACATCGGATAATACTTTGGTAAAGTACCGGCGGCGAGTATAATCGAGACAGCGTATGTGTGTGTTTGACGACTCACGAGGCAACGTCCGCGAGGCTAACAGGATCGATCACGGGAGGATCGTCGCACTGCAATTTTCTTTTTTTTTATCTATCCGTCACAAGGCGATGTCGAAGGAACGATTCGAAGGCGATTATAATGTGCACTTGCTGCGACCTACGAGCCTGTGACTTCCTCCCTTTTAGCGTTTAAGTCCATCTACGAATCTAGTCGTGTCTCTATTGTGCATCGCAAAAGTCGCGCTCTCGCGAGTTTACTGTGCTTCCTATCGAGAGAAATCCCGTATACGCGAAATTCGCTTTCTCAATTTCCGCACGTTGAATTAACTCGGCATTAGGACCTTATCGCACGGTATATATTTTTTTTCTTCGTCACATCTAATTATATTTTTCGTTAAATAATTTCGTCTAATTGCGTGATCGGGAAGCGAATTAAGAACACCGTGTACCGTGGGACAAGAATCTTACTCAGATGAGGTTTTATGTTAGAAAAAATATCTCATGCGTTTATTTCGCCGTATTTTCGCTTCTACAATCGAAAATTCGAACTTTTTCCTGTCGTGATTCTGAACCACGCGCGTATTGGATATTTAATTTAAAAGTAACATTCTCGTAAATACGTTTATCTCCTACGTATTTCTACAATACCTCGTTCGAGTGGTGGACTGAATGTTTTCCTGCTCGTCGAGTTGAAGCAGCTGGGTGTAATAATGCCGCCGTATATTGCCCCGACACGTTTCTTTCCCGATAAAATGTAAATAGAAGCGTATCTCGATTTGTTGACGCGCAACTAGTCGGGCAATCGATATTACCGGATTAATCACGCCGAATTAACAACGAGCGACACCCCCGGTTTAGGATCTCATGTACGGATAGTCGTATTCCCGTATCGGCGCAAAGGTCTCCTTAATGGCTTGCGGGGACGCCCAGCGAAGAGCGTAGTGAGGACCGCCGGCTTTGTCGTTTGTGCCGGACATTCGACTGCCGCCGAACGGCTGTTGGCCGACCACTGAACCGGTGGATTTGTCGTTGACGTAAAAATTGCCGGCAGTATACTTAAAGTCCTCGAGTGCCTTCCTCGCCCAATTTCTATAAAAACATACGTACATTTGAAAATAATATATCATTATAGTGTCATCGAGCGAGCGTAAAAATTTTGGGAATTTATCGAAAATAGTTCAATATCAAAAAATATTAATCATTACATGTACTACAAATCTTATACTATAATATTTTATACTTTAATGTGTAGAGAATAATTTTAGAGAATTTTAAAGGCAATTTAAAATAGAATTGTATAACATTTTTGCTTAAATTCTTTTCACGCTCATTACATGTATGAAATCATGTCATGTGTTGTACAATATAACTAGTACATTCGACTTTTACTTACTCATCTTGCGCGAATATCGCGCCTGTTAAGGCATAAGGCGTGGATGTTTCCACCAGTTTTACCGTCTGGTCCAGCTCAGAATCCTTGTACACGTATATCGTTAATACCGGGCCGAATATCTCTTCTGTCATGAGTTTTTCCTTCGGATCTTTGGATTGTACTATTGTCGGTTCGATGAAGTATCCGCACCTGGAAAGAACACTTTCATCTCAGAACGACAGATTAATTAAGGCAAATAGTGAAGCTATTAACAATTGCACAATAACGGAACGTACGAATCGTCGTAGCCCCCACCGCCGAGAATTTCCATCTTGGGTGACTTCTTTGCGTACTCGATGTAACCTGAGATCCGTTTGAACGCGACGGCGTCTATAACGGCGCCGGTAAACATGGTAAAGTCTCGAACGTCACCGACTGTGAGTTTCTGACGAAGAGCTAAGAGGCCGTCTTTCACCTGGAACGAAAGTTCAGAGAGGTATCACACGGATGCGCGCTCCTAAGGGATTTAACAGAGCTACTCATTTTCGCTGGACCCACCTTGCCCCACAAAGACTCCGGCACGTACATTCTACTGCAAGCGGAACACTTCTGCCCGTTGAACTCGAATGCGCTTTTTATCGTCGCGTTGACGACCGTCTCCACGTCGGCGCTCGAGTGGACGAAGTGGAAATTCTTGCCGCCGCACTCGCCGACCAACTTCGGGTAATTCCGGTACTTGGTGAGGTTCTGACCGATCTGGATCCACAGGCGGTTGAACGTCGGCACCGAGCCGGTGAAGTTGAGCCCGGAGAGGTGGGGCGAGGACGTGATGGTGTCGCCGAACACCGGTCCATCGCAGGGAACGAAGTTCACCACGCCGGGCGGCACCCCGGCCTCCCTGCATATTTTAAAGATCCACCAGTTGGACAATAACGCGGTGTCGGACGGCTTCCAGAGCACGGCGTTACCCTGCAATCGCGGCATGCACGTCGACACGTGCGTGTTATTATTAGCTTCGTTACTTCAACCGTGAACGCGAGCCTCGCGATTAAAGCGCTGTCGGTATGGTTTGCAAATTACAAACCATCAGTGCCGGCGTGTAGCTGAGATTACCGCCGATGGCAGTGAAGTTGAAGGGCGACACCGCCGCGACGAAACCGTCCATGCCGCGATACCTCATCGAGTTGCGGGTTTGTTGATCCGGCGAGATCGGCTGGTACTTGAGACTCTCCTTCACGAAGTACGCGTGCATCTTGAAAAAGTCAATCAGCTCCGCCGCGCTGTCGATCTCCGCCTGGATCACGGTCTTGCTCTGGCCGAGCATCGTCGCGGCGTTGAGACTCTGCCTGTACTTGGTCGCCATCAGATCCGCTATCCTCAACCACATATCCAACCGATTCTCGATCGGCCACCTCTCCCATTCCCGTTGCGCCTTCACCGCGACGTCGATTGCCTTCTTCACGAGCTCCGGCGTCGCCCAGTAATACTTGGCGACTTTTTCCTTGTGATTGTGTGGCTAAAAAAAATTTACGGTTGTCTTATGTAACTGAGGAGGATAAATCACGCGCGTGGGTCGCGCGTAAGAACTGCATTCCATAAAATCGAGGAAAGGAATCGCGATTAAGATGAAGACAAACCATGACTTGATATCTGCACAGATTGGTCTTGATCTCCTCATCTCCGATAACTAACGGCACCTCCTCGTATTCGCAGCTCATCTTATCCAAGACCTTCTCCAGCTCCGCTCTTTCCGGGCTGCCCTTCTTGTAGCTGAGGACCGGCTCATTCTCCAGCGGAAAGTCCGGCGGGTTCGACACCGGGACTATCGAGCCCAGGCATCTGCTGCTGACTCTGTCGAAAAATAAATAACGTCAGGGTGCGAAAAAGTTGTACTATAGAAAGTAGATACGTGCCGACAGATAAACTGAGATTTATCTAAAGTCTCAAGAGTCCTCTTAAGAATCTTGTCTACTTGTGATATGATCTTCAAATATTTACTCGACCACTTGTGGTAAAGTCTCGAGTTAACAGTCTTATCTATTGTCGTCAAATATGCACTGGAATTTCGGAACGAGCCCCATGCAATGCAAACGAACACCTGACACGAGCCGACAAGTGTCGTTTTGTCTTTGTTACTCATTAAATGTCAAGGATAGAATGACGTTTGTTTCAACTTGTGTCAAGCATTATCAGTGTTTGCTTGCCGATGTCGCGTGGACGACAATATCGAGCTGCAAGACTCGAGTATTTTTGGAACAAAATGAGGAATTTTTTTATGCGTCTTATTTTGACCTGACTTATCATGTATAAATCAATAAGAATTGAATTAACATATAGCATAGCGAAAGGGCATCATACTCGCGGATGAGAACCGCCGCGATGATAATATTATACTTATATGTTTTTTCTCAACTTGACTCTAATTAACGCGGTGTTATCGATATTTAATTGCGTAGATAATTACGACAAATTACGCTTAATGTAAGTTGCTTTACGGCGAGAAAATATCACTTTTACAATAACATCCATACCATTCCAAATGATAAGATCTAATATTGTTTTCGATTGTAAATCATTTTTGAGTTGATTTGAAATTAATTATTTTCCTATAGATATAATTATATTACAAATATTATGATTAGATGTATTGATCGATGTATAAAACCCGAAAATTTTTGTGAATATTCACTAATAACTTAAGAAGATATTGTACCCATGTATTTATATGTATGTTTTCATCGCGATAAGGACACCCACGACTGTTTCTAATTCCGTCCTCTTTGAGGCGAAGTGCTCGCCTTCGCTATGTCGAAAAGGAAAAAAACAAGTGGAAAAAACGCGATTGCTGTATTTCCACATAATTCAGGATTCAATCGCAAAAATTGTGAATCAGTGCGATGGATAAACACAAGACACAAATCTTGAAGAAACGCAAGTACACTCTTACGCGCGTTATCCCTTCTGATCCTTTGAATGGAAAAGCCGGAGGCTGATGTGTCAATCAATGTTATCGCGAGCATCGTAATTAACGGACCGCGTGATCTGTCGTTAAAGCCGACGTAACCGTATCGCGGTGAAATAACGTTATTGCGACTAATTCTGTAATTCGTTAACGACAGATATTGTTATACGCATTGTTGTTGCGCAAGATATGTAGTAAAAAAAAATTGCGATGTTATAAACTATTGCTAAAAGTTACAGATTTTAGTCTCTGGCGTGAGTCATATCGAACGATATTCGAGTGTCCTCGAGATGATATAGGTATGTAGAATATGTATAGAGAAGTAAAATATAGCCGCTAGAATCGGCGTTGACAGTGAGTCAGCTGTCGGAGTGCGTTTGACAGATGACCTGTTTTTGCCGAACGGAACGGAATAACGTCTCTAAAAACATATAAAATAATATTGAAAAAAAAAATAAAATCTCTGAAGTGTGCTGGTCTTTTTTTAATTTTCTCTTCTTATTTTTTTCGAATTGCAGAATAAATGGAAAGAGAAAAAGAAAGGAGGAGAAACTAGACTATAGAAAGTGGCAATCTTTGCTCTCGAAGTCAATCGAGAGCACATCAATGTGATTGATGTATGTACGTACAAAAAAAAACCGAATTAAAAAAACGACCAATTGCATCGCCTCTTTCGGTTTCTCCTTCATTTAGGATTTAAAACGTGACGAACTCTAATAATGATAGCAAAGTGTAGACTTTGTTGGCAGAATGCCAGCGGAAATATAACGAAATCTGTTAGTAAATGGATAATAAATGGACTGCAGAATTTGAGTAAAATCTGCCGTTTTATTGCAATTTAAATGATCTATTGCGAAAAAACAAGATTATACACGCGCTGCTTTCTGCTGGCAATCCTCCGACAGAATGTGAGCTCAACGTAGACGCAGCTGACGCTAATCTGCCGCGATATTCTGCTCGAATCTTCTGGCAAACTACTAGCGTTATCGCCAATATTTAATTCATTGGACCAGAAGGACAGGTGATCGGCGAGTGCCAGTCTGTGTCCATTTCCATCAATTAACTTTTTAATCCCAGTTTAATTCATTCTTTATTTTCTTTCATTTTTTCAAACTAGGAAATTTCCAAAAATTAACATTGATAGAAATGAACACAAAAGGTGGCTATATATGATAAATCCCGATCAGGAGACACGATAGTGGCTTGGTGTCAAGTGTTTAAAAAAATTTAAATAAAAAATCATAATATAATATGTCAAGCCTATATATTAACTTAAACGGCGATAAATCCAACCGGCAGAAGCGCTCTTAGCAGAAACTTGGAAACATTTATCATATGTAATCTCTTTCCGTATTCAAATGACAAAAAATTGACAATTCTAATTTACGTTAATAACTGTCGCAGTAATTTTCGCAGCAGTCACTTGATGAATTATTTAGGTCTGATTCGAGATAATCCCGAAATTATGTCGCGTGGTCCGTGATTCAAAGCGAATCGAGCGTCGGATCGAAGCGCGTTTACTAGTACATACATTACATATGTCAACGTCCGCGGACATTGTCAGGTACAATTCGACGAAAATATTGCCTCGCGCGCGGACCACACGTCGCCCGCGACGATCGATGGAACTTCCTCCTTTTCGTCCAGGAGGAAGCGGCGGTGTACAGGGCCGAGCGAGAGGAGATCGCGGAGTTGGGTTATCCGAACGGGGGAACGCGCGCGATTTTTCGCGATTCGCGATACGATCGATATCGTCGCCCAGGACGACGGACGGAGAGGAGGCAGACGTGTTCTAATGACGGCACCGTCGTGCGGGATCTACTCACTTTTGGGTATTCGCCAGCAACGCCTGACGACAAACCAGGCCCAACATCTTCCGGCGGTGAGGTGACGGGGGACGGGTAGCGAGGGGAACGAGAAAGAGAGAGAGAGAGAGAGAGACGGGAAGAGGCAGGGAGGGAGAGAGAAAGAGAGAGAGGGATGACGTCGGCGCGCGGCCCTTCGTCACGTCACACACGACGACTTGAAGGGGCAGACGAGGTGCCCTTTTCGACTGACAGATCCCGCCGGATGTACGACGCGACTCTCGGATCTCCCTTTTCCTCACGCGCCCGGTGCGCCGAATTGCCGAAACTGCGACGGAACACACGGATGCCCGTGTTCGATGCGAACACCGCGCCGTCGGCCGAACCGCGCTACACCGGGTTCCCCACCTCTCGCGGGAGCGTCCAGGGCCGTACGATTATCCGGAGCGGCGGGAAGGTGGCGAGGGGGAAGGACGATCGCGAGCCGACGCGACGGCGGCGTTGAAATTCCGCGTGAAATATTCACGGCGAATGCGAAGCCCGTCGCGTCTTACTTGACGATGCGCGAAATCTATCCTAGCTCGTCTTTCATCGATAAATATTAATTAATTACCGATTATCTGTTGTCATTATGTTATTCACTGATTTTGATCCGCGGTACAGCTGATCGTCGATGTACCAACAGAACGCGCGTGATGAATATTATGTTACTCTTTTTTTTTATTCTATATTTAAAAACGAAAAGAAAAAATTGTTTCTTTATCTCTGTGCAATAATTTTTAATTTAACTTAATTTTTTTATTTACATTGATGTACTTTAATAAATTTGGATTTGCCAATTACATTTTTAATTTCGCGTATTTCTGCTAATCACGCCTTTTTCCCGATGTCATTGCCTTCAGAAAAAAAGACGATTTTTTTTCAGTTTATGGGACCTGTTATCCGATCTTTTGTCAGCTACAAAAAAAGAAACGAAGAAAGAATTTTAAGTAGTAGTCAAAACCAAGTATTGTCGGGCACCTTCGTTTACATCGCTCGTTCCTTACCGTAAACCATTTCTCACCCATGTCTAGATTGATTCTAATCAAAATCAATGACGGTCGATCAGACCGCATTAACGCAAGGCATTCCTTTGTCAACGCGTCTACGTTATGTGGAATAAGAGAAACGGGAGTTCAGGTCTTACCGAGGAATTCGAAAGCGCCAATCCTCCTTATCTCGACGGATAGAGAGGTCCGATTTGCGAAATTTCGGATTCACGTCTCAATTCTATTTTCGATGCCCTTCTTCTCTTTTCCTCTTGTACCTTCAGGAAGCTTCCGTCGTCGAGCATCAGGTCTCGCCTCTGGTGTTGAATTATTAATAATACCTACCGACTCGCGTATATGCCGCAGCAAACAACTGCTGTGTTTAAATGCCAAGCGTGTCGACATGCATATGGACAATTTATAATACGGACGCCGTGCAAACGAGAGAGATCTTTGTGCATCAGCCTGACGTAACTTGAAAAATTCAAGACACTTTAGTCGCACGTCGAACTTCTTCGGTGTTAAAACGAAAGAGTCATTAGGGGGAGATAAACTTTACGCTGTTCTAAAACTCGCGCCGAGAATTGAACGATCAAAGAAAAGCGCGTCACGTAAAACAGAAAAAGAATATTTTAAACAGTACTTATATAACTTATTTAACAGTAATTATACAATTATACAATTATGAAATGTAACACAGTTAATTCTCTTGGGTGCACAGTCGAGCGCGAGCTACTAGTTTTTCTCTAATCAGAGTGTTGTGTCTGACATGTCGCGCGTTAAAATCAATCTCGGTTTCAACGAGCGTGAGCTTCGTGTAACTAGATCCGACTGTAGCGCGGACAGGAATAAGTACCATTCTGGAAATGATCGATTTACATCGATTTACATGTTAACGCAATCAATAACTCCGACAAAAGAGCTCGTAAGTCGAACGCTATTGTATTCCAGTACCGCTTGTCACGGAACTTTTCAGTCGCATTCGTTACACATCGTTAAATCCTAATCACAAAGAATAGCGCGGACGAGTCGTTGAAAAGAGCAAGATAAAAAAAACAAGTCATACATCTTTAAAAAAGTTCATCTCTACGACGGAAGGCCAGAATGCGTTACGTAAGACGATTCATTTTTAAACAATGTCGTCATTGTGTGTTACGCGTGTGTATTCGCCGCGCAAATAGGCATAAATACTTTAAATTTACGATACGAGCGTTTTTTTTAAATCGAGCATATCGGTATTATTATTTGTTTCTTAGTACATCATCATTTCTTGAAAAAGATGTTCAAATAGCGGAGAAAGAACTCACTTGTCCTGAAAAGGATAGACAATCGGTATCGAGTTGAAGAGACGATAAATAATTGTTTCAGATTTCGAAGAGGGCTTTTTCTGAGGCGCGCGATAGCACACTTGGCGAAGTGTCTTCAGTTCTCCTCTTGCTGCATTTGTAGCTCGCGGAGAAGTTGCGCCCTTTGCTTCTCCAGTTCGTCCTCGGAGAGCTCGTGGTGCTCGTTATTTTCCAACGTAGGGGAACCTTCGCTGTGAACCGAAGGCCTTCTGTGCTTCTCCTCTTTCCGTTTCCTCTCCGGGGACTCCTCGGAGGACGGAAGACCGGAGTGTGAACGCTGCGAAAAAAAATATCATATAATAATTGTGATGAAATGCATAATGAAATAGCTTTTTTCTCGAAATAACGTATCGCAATATCATTAATTCGTACGGAATGACTGCGGCCTCTCTTCTTCTTATTCTTCTTCCTCTTGGACTTCCTCGTTTCCGACTCGGAACTGTCGGACTTGCTGGGAATACTGGGCGAATGAGACTTGTGTCGCTTTCTTCTCAAGCCTTTTTCGCTACCTTCCGATTCCTGCAAAAAAAAAAACCATCAATTTGATACACTTTTCGCGATCAGAGACGCTGAGGAAGCAACTATTTTCGATAATACTCACACTGTGCGAACGCGATCGTGATTTGCGCTTCAATTTTTTCGCCTTTTTCTTCTTACTTCTGATGTGATGGTGACTGCAGCTCTCCTCAAGCTCATGCTGATATTCCTTGAATATCCGTATTCTCTCGCTCTCCAAAGTAATCGCCTTGAAATCTTGCTCCTCTTCGATTTTCGGCCTCACGTCCTCCCACGCCATTTGATAGTCTACGTTCAACGACTTGAGCAAGTTCTTGAAGCCGGTCTCCAGTTTCTTGAATTTGCGCGTCTCCTCCTTGACGCGCTCCTTCTCGCGTGCCTCCGCTTTCTCCAGCAACAAGTTGTACGTTAGTTTAACGTTACCCGCGTCCAGAGTCGCCGACTTTCGGTCCTCGCACACGACCGTGGCGAATTCCTCGAAAGTCGTGTTCACCTGCACCTCGAAGTTCTTGTCTTTGAGTATCTCGCGAATGATCTTTTTCTCGTCGTGGAATCGGGACTTCAAGTCCTCAACGTAGAATTTGAAAAGGTCCAGCGGGGTCGAGCCCGATTGCCCGAGCATAGCCGAAAACCGAAGATCGGCAGATAGCATGGGGTATAATTCTACCCACAGCGACATCGACGTGAGTTTCCCTTGTTCGTGAAGCTCATCGAGTAGATACTGAAACAAATAATTTTTGATTATACAAAAACCAAACTATTTAATGTAATGTAGATATACCAAAATATAATACAGTCATAACAATGAAACTGCCAATAGTGTGGAACAGCCTGCCGAGACACTCACTACGAAATTATCCCTGTTTTTCCTCTCTTGCCGTTTCCGACGTTTCTTCTCGCACTCCTTCTCTTCTTCCTCGTCCTTCTCCAGTTGGCGGATGTGGTTCTCGAACACAATCAGGGCGTCCTCTTTGTCCATCTCCAACAAGTCCGCGTCCTCCGCGAATGCGGGATGCTGCAGCAGCAAGGCCTGCGCCTCCTGCCATGTGGTCCTATACGTCACTTCCGTCATAGTGTCCAGAACCTGCGCCAGTCTTTTGGTATTTCTCTTCTTCAACTGCTTCGCCTCCTCCTTCTCGCGTTTCGCCAAATTGAAGATAACATCCTCGTAGATGTCTCGACGATCCGAATCCCCGACCGCCCGCCAAACCTCTAAATTACCGAACATCTCCTCGCACTTGTAATACTTAGTCGTGCTAATCATTCTGTCGTTTTCTAATAAAAATTGCTCCAAATCCTCCTTGGCCTTCTTCAATCTGTCGAAGATACGCTGTCATTATTATCCGATTCAACTGTATAATTTTAATCAATTTAACACGATAAGTAATCACGATAAGTACCTGAGTCTCTCCTGCTCGCGCTCTTCCTTCAGTTTTTGCGTCTTGTACGAATGGAAGGCCTGCTTACGTTCATTCAACTTCTTCATCTGCGGATACCTAGGATCGTTCTGAATCAACTTGACCGCCTGCTCCCACGTGGCATTCGATGGTACGTCCCTCTCCCTCAACAATTCCTTGAACGCCTCGATAGCCTCCTTCTTATCCTTGAACTGCATCTTGGGCTCGGGCGTGCTGGTGCGACTGTCGTTGGCCGAGCCCATCGCGGAATTGCTATCCTCGTCCGGTTTCGTGGGCGGCGTCGGAATATTAATTGCCGCGAGGGTCGCGGCCATCGCCTGCTCGATAGCCGACTTCCCTCCAGATTCTGGTGTGCTGGTTTGCGATATAGTTGTGACATTCGGCGACAAGTGTTGCATGGCTACTGGGACCATGTTGCTGAAGACACAGGAAGATCCCCCACGATGAATACATAGAAAACTTTTGAAAGATAATCTGTGTAATTTCTGTATTATTATATACTCACGAATTCGTGGCGTTCGCCACGACCGCCGCGGCGGCCGCCGCAGCTTCCTCGGCTATAATTCGCGTCTTCAGCTCTTCCAGCTCCGGCGGTATCGTCCACCTGGACTCCTTGTTGTTGACGTTGTGGTAGTACACCTTGCCGTTCTCCGACTTGTACTCCTTCCAGGGGCACTGCGACAACAGCAATTCGCTCGGGGTCTTCAGCTCGTCCGGCTTCTCCCACAAGGACTGCTTCGTGATGCTGTTATAGTAATACGTTCTGCCGTCGGGTGCCTTGTGCTCGCTCCAGTCCGTCTTCTTCTCCGTCGTGGACGAGGCGGACATCGTCGCGGCGCCGTCGCTAGGCGAGGGAGGTGGGATTCCTGGCGCCATTATTTGCGGCGACGCGGCTGTAAAACGTGAGAAAGGAGGTGGCATTTGAGCTGAGCACGGATTCGCGGACGACGAGCGTGGATATTTTAGCGATGGATATTAACCTATGACTCCGGCCTCTTGAGGAGGTGCCGCGGCGATAGGGAAGGTAAAGCCTGGCGGAGGTATGGAAAACTGAGGTGGCATTATACCCGGAGGACCTGGCGGTAAACTGGGAGGGGGAATGAACGGTGCCGCGGGCATAATGGGTGGCACAAAGCTAGATGCGATATTTGGCGTCGCCGATGAGAATCCTGTCACGGCGGCGGCGGCGGCGGCTGCGGCGGGTGGCGGAATACCATCGTTCGAAGCCTAGTAATGTGTTTACATTGTCAGTCAGATGGTCAGCAATTTTGAAAAGCGCTAACATTACTCGCGTCTCCCACGCGCTACGTCCGGCTCGTAGCCGCGCTTCCGTCCGTTTTTTCACGGTTTCCCTTCCTCCCATCTCGGACCGTCTTGGACAGACAGAGAATTCAGACGGACAGAGAAACGAAGGGAGAAGCGTCGCTGCGAGCCGGCACTTTCTAATATACATAAACATGACTTATTACTATTATTATCACACTAATAATTATTGTTAATTCGTAGCTGTCGCTATATTAAAGAATTATTCTGAAGCGGAACAAATTAATTCTCGAAATTAACTTAAAATCTCATATGCATCTCGAAGAGAGGTTATACCAGTTATACGACACTTAATAGATTGTAACACTCGGTGTCTACATGCCATTTGTTTAGAGAGATCGCCGAGAGCGGGAGTCCGCAAAACACAATTTGCGATCGCTTTCGATCACAGCACGATCACAACATCGATTAATTTATTAAACTTATCGTGCGTAAACACTTCTATTCACAATTCATAACCTGAGTTCGACAGCCGATTGACTTTCGACATTCTCGTTTACTCTCGCTACACGGACGCTCGGCCCATCAAACGTAACGTTGGTAATTTTACTATCTGTATTATCGATGGAGGATAAAACAGATTAAGTTGATAAAGTCAGAATTATATACATATATGTATAATATTATAATGAAAATATCTGACAAAAAAGACAATTAATCTTACATTTGATTATCTTTTGCTAATTAATATAACATATAATCATTATTGTTTAGTGAACAATCATTATTTATTTAGTGAATGTTCGGCGATTGAAGTATAGTACAGAGGTACTCCTTGTAAAGTCTGGGAGTTGGCATTGTCAATTCGTACGACGATATAATCGCCAACTTGTATTTCTCTTGTCGTAACGGAGTGCTCGGCAATCGGGATAGGCGCAGATGGTAGTATAACTCTCACATTACCGTCGTTTCTACCTCGTAACTTTTGATCAGACCTCTTGCTCGTCTGTCGATAGAAAACATACGTACATCATTATAAAATCTATCGTTCTCGTTCTTAATTAATATTGCCAATAAAAAAAGATCAATATTTGCAATTTTTACAAAAAAATACATGATACAAAGTATAAGATTAAAACATATACGGAAGGAAAGAAAAAACAGAGGAAGAAAGCGACAGATGCTATTTTTTTCTTATACAATAAAATTGGGAAAATGCTTACGCTTTCCACGAGAACGAGTTGACGTTGCCCTATCTGTGCTCTATTCAATTTCTCCACCTCTTTTCGATATAGCGCGATCATGCGATTCAGACGGTCCATCTTTATGTGCGACTCAACGTCGTCCTTGTATCGTCTGTGTGCCGTAGTTTTCTGAAAAAAACATAAAATATTTGTAATATGTAGTTACGAAATAAAAATAAACTATAAATTCTTAAATAATAAATTAATTGAATTAGCTGAATCTTTAATAAATTATGAAATTAATTTATTTATTTGCATTTGATATAAATTGTTCGAAAAAATCGTACAAGAATTGTACCTCGCGCATGCTGTAGGCGAATAAATATGCGTTGTTGTATTTAACTTCTTCTATCAGCGACAACGTATCTTGAAACTGCTCCTCGGTCTCGCCGCAGAACCCGGCGATAAAATCGCTCGAAAGATGTATGCCCGGGAAAATATCACGAATACGGTACACCAAGTCTAAGTACGATTCCCTGGTGTATCCTCTTCGCATTCTCTCCAGAACCGTGGAGTTGCCGCTTTGCGCAGGCAAGTGAATCTGCTTGCAGATGTTCGGTCTCTCGGCTATCAAGTGCAACACTTCATCGGGAAAGTCCTTGGGATGAGGCGACGTAAATCTGTATAAATGTAAATCGATCGAGAAGATTATCGTAAATTATTATACAAAGACAGTGGGAATTAATGCTAATTTGTAGATTCATATACCTTATTCTTACTTCCGGATTAATCGAGGAGACTTTGTCCAGAAGATCGCCGAATCTTAAACCGCCTTTCTTAGTCTTGTAAACCGTTTTGAAACCTTTAGCGAGATGGGTCTCCGTGTTAGCCGACAGGGCAAATTCCGATTTCGATAAATCTCTGTAGCTGTTCACGTTCTGTCCAAGTAGAGTTATTTCCTTCACCCCCTGATCCGACAACTGCCGGACCTCGTCAAGTATACTTGCAATCGGTCGGGATCTCTCTCTTCCTCGCGTAAACGGTACGATACAGTAGGTGCACATGTTATCGCAACCCCTCATTATAGAACTGCAAATTACAGACACACAGCATAAAATTAAAAGTTTACATATATATATTTTTTCTTTAAATTCATATATGTATATTTTTTTAATGAAATACATTTTTATAAATATGTATATACGTTACACATATGCCCCAGTGGAGTCCTGGTTGAGTCTAACCGGCGTGACATCCGCATACGTCTCGTCAAACGATAACAAGACATTGACAGCCGTTTCATCGTCCATCACCGCCAGAAGCCTTGGCAAATCCTTGTAGCTGTCAGGGCCCGCTATTACGTCTACAAGCTTCCCCCTGTCTAGTATCTTAGTCTTTAAGCGTTCGGCCATGCATCCTAATGCAAACGTTTATTATAAGTCAAGAACTCGATCGTCGAGAGCTCTCCTCGATATTATCAAGCACTATAATTAAAGCTTGCCTAAAAGACCGATCTTCATAGGCGGTCCAATTATCCTCTTTCTCTTGTTCCTCAGTCCGTTTAAGTGCTCCAATTTGTTCCACACCTTCTGCTCGGCGTTGTCCCTGATGGAGCAGGTGACGACCAGCACGATGTCCGCGTCGTCCAGAGATCGCGTATGCTTGTAGCCGTGCGACTTCAATACCGACCACACTATGTCGGCGTCGTTCACGTTCATCTGGCAACCGTAAATTTCGAAGTACACTAGCGTAAACAGAAAGGATAAGGGTAGAGTTCAAAAGACAGTTTCGAAGCTACGAGGCCAAACGATAAATCCCATGAAGACTTGTATATCTCTGAGAGACCTTTTTGATTCTCGCCACGGATATCCTGCACGTACGGGACAGGCTTCTCGCTGGGAATATCGACAACGGACGGGCTCAGGAAATCCTTCAAGGATGGTCCATCTCTGATATTCCTCCCTGGTTTTTCATCTAGAGCAACTCGCTCAGTTGCGCCTGCATTAATCGCTGATGAAGACACGGGGATCGTTCTGTGGATCGCGCGACACGTTCGCACCCGAGAATCCGTACATTTTCGTTGTATCAAATACCTTCTGAGACAATTTCTGTAATACATTCCTCTTGACATGTTGAAATCGAACCCAAATGTTGACTCTGGAATTAAAATTTGGAGTTGTCATGCGTTCAAAAATATATAACGAAGACACTGTGCTATCAAACGTTACAAAACGTTGAATGTTTGATACAAACACTCGGATATTTACGTTAACCTCTCTTCAGTTCAATCAGCTGATTCTTCGTGGCTGATTGTGAGCCGAGGTATTTTGTAGGTTACGAAAGCCGGTGCGTCGTGCGAGGTATACTGACAATGATGTAAACATCGCACAATGTTAGGTAATGAATGCAGACGTTTTAATACAAAATATCTACATAATACAATAGACATATGATCTATTTCTTGTAAGCACTGTTTTACACTTCTACATTTAAAATAAAATCAATATATATATATATATATATATATATATATATATATATATATATATAAATAATTAAAAGTCAAATAGAAAAAAGAAAATGGTATAAAAATTCAGCACAAGTTGGAGGTCTGTTTTTTTTGCACTTAAAATAACTGGAGAGAAAAGGAGGAAAGGTAAATCTGTTGTGTACAAGAAGCTCAGCTACGAAGAATAAATTATTTGTACAATATAGACAATAAAGATCAGGAAAGAAGATATATATATACGACAAAGGGGTTTCTGCTCAATTTGTTTATTCGCTTTTTTTTCGAGATTTACTTATCGTTTTACCTAAAATATAAACGTAAAAACGGGACAGTCCTTTTCGACATATGAATCTCGTCTATAATAATAATTATTGATACACGCCTTATATACAATTTCGTATGTACAATTAATGCAAGTGTGCCGTCATTGTCACTGTTACAGGTGTGTGAAAAAATAGTGATTGCAACATTTATTGACATCCTAAATACCATTAAACGAGGCGCATAACACAGACCCTATTTCCACTCCATGCCGTCATATAAAAAAAAAAAATTACCAATCTGATCTAAAAAAATTCTTTTTTTTTTTCTTTGCTAAGTCATACATTGTTTTCGCAAGTTCTAATGGGAAAGAATAGTCAGCTCGAATTCCATTTTCATATAATTATGTAGATTGTAGAATACAAAGCAATAAAGTCGTTTCATATCAGTAATATTCGATTAGCTGCATATCGTAACAGATTGGCATATATGGAACTGCATCTGCATTTGGCTCGTTTTTTTCTTTTTTTCGTTGGCAGGTCCACCGTGGACGTGACATGACTGCACATGAATTATACGGAATACTAGCAGACTCATATAATATATCGTTGGACATGACGCATCGATTCTACATAACGTCTCTGCTGACGAAGTCTGTAGCGCGCGAACGCCTTATATAAAATTTACTATCGACAGAGATTTGACGTTATTTCGGAATCATAATTCGCAATCGCTGAAATGTTTGCACACAAATTAAACTCTCTCTCTCTCTCTCTCTACATATATATATATAATTATTAAAGCTATCACAGCAGTGTGCGGAAATATGTGATCTTGCTTTGGTAAAGCACACTGTACGCTAATGTAATATTGAATTTGTGAAAAAGAATCATTCCAAGCTGATTCGTTTTAACAAGTCTCAGTACAAAATAATAAATTAACTGCTGCTGTAACAAAAAAAAAGGACTGTAATCAAGGTACTTAAAACTTCCAAACACTTTAGTTGCCCATTAATCTCTTTTATACAATCGCACTTAGTTTTATATTATTTTTTTTTTTTACATCAATAATTGTTTAATAATTCCCTATTTATCTTTCTCTGGAGCAAATAAGCGTCTAGCATCATTGTCTTTGTGAGAGACTCAGCTAAGCTCCATTATTATAAAATAATTTACAAGATATCAACATATTTTCAACTAATAAATACAATTTCGATATCATATTTTCTAAAGAGCATTAGGATACTGTTAATATCCACATGGTGGTTGATTATCTCACTTGGAATATTAACAAAATAACAGAAATTTCAAAATTAAAAATATTAACAAAAATTTCGAAATCCGAAAGAATGTCATTCTCTTTCTAGAATAAGAAAACATCAATTTCTAAAGACTATACATATATATATATATATCAAAAAAATTTTTACAATAATTTAATAACATGATATGTGTTTTCATTTTGTCAACGTCCTAATTTTCTATCTTGAATGTTTTCTTTTAAGGGAAATCAAGATAGAAAAATGTATTGATACTTGATTATAATCATAAAATAAGCAATATAAAAAAATCACAGATAATAAAGTAAGATAATCATCCTTGTCTGTCTATCATTATCCTATGTAATATTTGGTCAAATCATTTTCGATATAAACCAGTAAGCGCGATTTTATCATTTTGTATAACTAGCAATTGTATATAAATAACTATCGCTATTAACATACATTCCTTCAACCCACGTTTACATCAATGTGTGTGTGTGTATGTGAAATTTTTCTCGAAAGAATATACATTTTTTTAAATTTCTGCCGTGTTGCACATACATATGAGGATTCGAGGACAGAACACAGAATTCTTAGAATTCCTTTGCTCCAAATGTCATTTCAGATTTATAACGCATTTTTGATTGTTATAGTATTGTTATATTTGTTTTGAATTTGTATACAGTCAAAGTGAATTTCTCGTTTCCTCTTTTGTCTTCAATCTAAAATAGTACAGTATCATAGTGCAAATCCCTGGAATTTTCTTATACAAAATTTATTACATCCCTCGCTTCTCGTATGTGTGTGTATGTATGCGTACTGGTGCGTGCATATACATACGTCACATATGTGGATATTTCGATTTTGTATTATATAATTTTGTATAACAGAAAATTTATCGTAAAATAAAAAGAATTTCGTGTACTTCTTACATTGTTTCTGATGTACAATATATATTTGAATGAAAATGACATTTAAAGTTTTAAAATATACATACATATATATTTTTATGTGTAAAATTAACTAACATATTAAAAACTTTTGGAGATATAGTGGGTTGAATATATCGTCTCAATTTCAAGTAACATCAGGCACTGTCAACCCTTCGTAGATTTCTCGCAATAAATTCAAATCTGCATTTAGCGTCTCGTTTAAATGTACAGAAATGTTTTTTTTTTTCTATAACGCTATCTATAACAGGTGCCGCGTATGAAAGCTAAATGTTGAAATTCGCAAAAGAAGAATCCACTGCAATCAAGAATTTCTATTAATTTTCTTAGTTATATTTTAATAATTTACACAATAATAAATTGTTTCGTGATGTGCGATTTTCCGCTTTCTTCCACACACAATAAAAGATATGTTCTCATCTTTATATGTATTTCTATGTATAGCAATCGCGATTATCGTATAATGTGATTAATGTGTCATCAATGGAAAACCATAGATCCCTTTTACGACATCCAACAAAAGTACACAACAAAATTTACAGACATTTCGGTATTACAGTGCGTTAAACTATGGCATTTTATTAAACTTAATATAGTATAGATCACAAGTGAGACTATAGATAGGTTGAATAGGAAATGTAAGAGTGTAAGAGTAATATAATTATTCTGTCCTAAATTCGACATGGGCGCTGAGGGGACTGGATAGAATTATGCACCGATTCATTTGATTGCACTTGTACTTTTCAACACTTTCCAAGTAACAAGATGACGTCAAATGACGTTTCAATAATGTCTTATTAACGTTAGAGACGTTATTAAGATGTCTTTTGACATTATTAAGACATCTTGCTACTTGAGTTTGTAGTATGCGGATTCATTGAAAGGATTGATATTCATTCTTACGTTATTACGCGTAATTATTGTCTTGTATGTCCAGCATTCAAGACGGTTTTTTTATTTTTTTTTTATGTGCGCCAAATGATATCCGGCAAAATTCTGAGAATGGTAAAAGTACGTAATGGATGACGAAACAAACGTGTGAACGTATTTACATGTAACAAACACCGCGTATACTTGTGAAGGATTAAGAACTCCGTAGATTGCGCAAATATATTTCGTTACGATGTGTGTTGCTACGGATATTTTCGGAGTACCCAAGATGAAAAAGTTATCCTGGATTTCCTCTTCGGATTAAGACTTAAAACAATTAATTTTTAGGAAGATACATATATATTACTTAATTGAAATATAATATATAATTTAGTACATTTCAAATATTGCTCAATTTTTTTTTTATCTCACTTAATAGAGTGGTAAATAAATTGCTTTAATTTATGGCTGCGGCCACGAGTGCCACGCGATACATTTAGAAAGTTCCAGTTTTCTAAGCGTTCGACGAAAATATATACGTATTATATGTTTTGTTTGCATCAGAGAACAGAATATTTTCCCAATTAAAATCCTTGCTGTCCAGGAATCAAAATCAGATTTTTTTACCCGTCAAACGGTTGCTCGAACATTGAGGTAGCTCCTCGTAAGTGATAAGCCCAAATTTTTCTATCATTCGATCAAATAAGCCGAAAGTAAAACATAAAAGTGACGTGACTTCCGTGGCTAACGTCGAAAATGCTACTGAAATTCGCTAGAACCAAGATTGCGCAAGTCTCTCCAGTGATTAAAAGTACTCCTTATTTCGGAAAAATCGAAACCGCTAAACTAAAACCTCTGGCAAAAACTCGCGCGAGAGTTCATTCGCAAACTACGTTCTCCACAGTATTAAGATAATGCCCTGGATTACGCATATATCTTAGCAACTTATCTTCGTGGCACCATTGTGATTCAGCTTGTGATTTATAGTGCAACCGTCCTCTTGAATGGTTTTAAGATATTCTTCTAACAGTGACGCCAAGTTACGTCGTTTAAAGCGTAATGACTCTTTGACTATATCTTTTACAAACGCAAGCCGTGTATCTAGGGTCCCCTGAACTTGATGTAAGTGTGAGAAGAGTGTTGCGTAATCTGAAACGAAATCACGTGTTAACGCTGTTACGAGAATCGTTAGCGATAGTTAAGTAGGTCAATTTTTTTTTTTTTTTGTTAATCGTTAACATCTCGCGACATTTCTCAGGATATAACAGAGAACCGAAGACTGGCGCGCCGAAGACTTACTTTTCCCTCTTCTTCGCACCTCCTTGTAAACGAGTTCCCGGATGCTCAAATTGTGCCGCCTGATGTCCTCCAGCTCCTTCTTCGTCAGCTTCTTCTCCCGCTCGGTCTTCTGCTCGCGCTTCTCCTCCACGTGATTCGTCAGTCTCTCCTCAGCGGCACCGTCCACAACTCGCACGCTATTCTCGATACAATCGTTAACCGGTAACCGATTACACTCGTTCTTCACGCTGTCTGTCCGTTCACTTTTAACATCACCCTTCGACATCGCGTCGACATTGTTGACTATCGGCGTGAGAACGGGCGGCGTGTCCATGTGATTGTTAACGTGCTCCACCGGGATCGGCTCGAAAACCGGTATGATCGGCATTTCCGCGAGACCGTTCACCAACTTTTCGGACGCGCTCGAACACGGCAGCGACGCGTGACCCGCCGGCGACACGTTCGGCAAACAAGACAGGATCGGCGGAGCGCTCGTATCGGCGACCGGTGTTGCTGCCGTCGCTGCTGCTGCTGCCGCCGTTACCGCCACTTGGCTCTTCATGCCATTTTCCTCCATCATCCAAGGAATCGGGGAGCTCGGTGGAGTATTAGTGTACGAGGGCCGTCGAACGATCACGTCCTTCGGTATGGGCCCAGGCTTCCTCTTGTTAGGCGGTGGCCTCGGGGAGGACGAGCCTGCGTTGTCCGACGGCGGCAAGGTGCGCTTGAGACCGCCTTTCGACGTCGAGGACGTCGCGCCGACTATGTCGATATCCGCCTCGTCTACCATCATCCTCTTGTCTATCTTGAATGGATTGCCTGCGATCGAGAATGTAACATCAATTATTTTTCCATACAAATGTATTGTAAATCGTAAGAAAAGTTACTTTTGTCGAATAATTACCAAACATATGCTGTCTAACTGGTACGCTTTCGATCTCTCTCAACGGCGGAGTCATGCGTTTCAGGTATTCCTGGTAATTTCCCATTTGGGCTAAAGGCATCGAATGAACGTAGTCGTCGTCGAGCAACTTCGTGTGCAGCAAGCCCGGTTGCAGGAAATTCGCGCGCATCCGCACAACTTGATCGAGCAGGGACTTTCTCGGCACGTCGAAGGCGTTCCTATAGCTGTGCGCGCCACGTTGCTGCTGTTGATTCTTCACCAATCCGACGACGAAACCTCCGAATTCGTTTAATTGATCGCGAAGACCCGTGAACTTGTCTTGCAACAAGGGATGAGATACCTACAAAGCACACACACACACACACATACACACAGACTTTAATATTGTAATGCTGGCCAGTAACTCCTTTCTGATTGATCCAGAGACGCAAACGCGATCGTCAATCGAAAATGTGACGTCATAAGATAAAATAACTTATGCCAACAGAGCTCGACTTGAAATGTATTAAATCTTACCAAATCCTTTTTTAGCGGTGTCTTCGGTACAACTCTCACTCCTTCCGTCACCACACTCGTACTACAATTAGACAAATTCTTCGTGAGATTCGAGGCGGCGACTTGCTTGGAAATGACCTCATTACACAGCCGATCAAATTCAATTTTGGCCTGATTCTTCAACCGTTTAAGATAATTTAAAACACTATACGATAAAGAATTATCCATATTATCGGGTATCAAGGTTTGCGCCAGAGGCGCGGACGCGCCCATCCTGGTCAACGCTCTCCTCAACGACTGCAACAAACGACGCTTTGGTTAAAAAAAAAAAACATTTTTCAGAACAATATATAATTGTTTGCAGATATAGGAAAACTTACGGCGGCATAATAAGTAGGCATGGTCCTTATGTAACCCTGGAACTGCGCTCTCCATTCGGGTGTTGGCTTTTGCCTGTGTACCTTGAAGAGCTCTTCCAGCAGCGGCAACAGCACGGGATAGTTGTAAGGCATGACGAAGAGATTTACGCAAGTTAAGTTTGTACTAGCTTTCAAGTAGCCGAACGGGTGGCCCACTTCGCTCGATTTATACGAATTAGCGACGAACACCTGCCAGCACGTCGTCGGCTGTTTCCGCGCCAGGATGTACTGCGTCAGCGGGCTCGGCTCCAGCTCGTACTTGTCGAACGGCAGATTCTCGATCACCATCGGCTCCTGGCTGGTGCACGTGAACTTCACGTTCGGATGCGCCGAGCGTGGCGGTAACGAGCTGGCGCTGAGATCCGGCCAGAAGCTCTCGGGAATCGGCCAGAAACCTACCGCGAAGCCCTTCTGGGCCGACCGCGGCACGTAGATCAGGCGTCTGCAGGAATACCAGGCCGTGTTCCCCGGCGCTAGCGCGTTCGGATACTGGGCGCGCGGCCCGTTCGTCGCGTTACCGTCGTCCTCGTTCTCCTCCTCCTCTTGATGCTGCGAGGCTTCGTTGGCCAACGGCGGTGGATCGGGACCGATCTTCTCGAAATTTATCACCACGCCCGATTGGACCTTCTGCACCAGCGAATCTATGCACTGTATCATCATTCTGAACGACGTGATGCAGTACGAGCGACCTGTAACATCGCGAGGGACAAGTTAAAAATTTATTTTCAATCCTTTTACAGTTTCGCATATAGCGAAACTGTATGCTATTCCGAGATTGCGAAGATCGCGATCTCGCTCATCTCCTTTACCTCCGGTTACTTCGCACATCGCATCTATCGGCGACGCGTCGCTCGCCACCAAGCCGATGTCTCGTTCGACGGCTGGTGTACCCGACAGACGCAGCACCAAAGAGAACAATCTTTGGTCCCATCTAAATGGCTCCTTCGTCAGCTCGGACCCGGGTATCGGGCAATTCATCGGTAACGTAAACTGCAAGAGAAATTCACATTTGTCATTATACGATGAAAAAGAAATCGCACGCTTTACTTGGTAGTTACGAATAGAAGATTGCATTTACATCTTGGTGAACTCCACTATTAGTCGTGTATTTTCCTCCGTCTGTTATAACAACTATAACGGATGGTTCTAAGTAAAACGGGCATCTCCCTTGGCCGTATGTGTCTATGCCGGTCTGCATACGGTTTATGTTCAGCACGTCCAGCGCGTGCTTCAAGGCGGCACCCAGCGTCGTCAAGCCGATGCATTGCAAGTTTTTGAGTTCGTTCATAAAGGTTGCCAGGTTCTCCTTCCATCCTGCCTGAAACAGGAAAGCATCGTCCTCGTGAAAAACATTATATGCAGCTCTTCCGAATTAATTTCTAACTCAATATAGAGTTAGAAATGCAATTCGTAAGATTCTATTTTTTTAAATAAAACAAGGGGACAATTATGTTGGTGCGGAATGAATCATCAGAAATTCCTATTATGTGTTAAAAAAAAAAACGTAAAGGTTCTCGGAACAAAATTTAGATAATTTCAAGTATTTCTCTATAGATTCTAAAAGTATAAATTAGACAAAATATATATCCCAAAAATTTCTTGTGTATCCCTAGATTTTTACAGCTGAAGCTGAATATCGTGCACATTTGAATTCATCTGGACGTCACTCGTAAATAATAGAAATATGTATAATACTGTTAAGTACATATTGAAATATCTGTAAAATTTTAAATTTAAAATTTCCCTTTAAATTTTAAATTTTGTAGATATCTAAATGACGTCTCATTCTGTATACATTTCCATTTATCCATTTTTCGTACAAGGAATAAGCATTGCGCTCACGTCCATTTCAAAATAAGATTTTAAAAAAAGCAAGAAGAGGGAGAGGAGGGGCTTGATTGGAGGGGCTTCGTGTGAGAGCGATCGACTCGTCATGCATATGTCTCGGTTTATAAGAGGTTCATCGGCGTGAAGGAACACGAGATTAATTGTAACCCCCTAGGACAATAAGGGTAGATATTTAATCGGAGGCCACGTCCGCGTTTGAACCTTGCAAAAATTAGCGCGCAAAATTCGCGACGCGGGAGGACGCCAAGGGAGGGCGCCTTCCTCTCTCGGACGTCGCTCTCGCTCGCTCGCTCTCTTTCTCTCTCTCCCCCAGCCGTCGACATCGTCCGTCCATCCACCACCATCGCGGCGCGTCTTTCGCAGCCGTGTGCACAGCAACCGTGTGTACGGGGCAGAGAACGATAGGCGGGAGGGAAGGAGGGACGAGGGAGGGCTACGCGAAGCAGAGACACGGTCGTCCGTTCGCTCCTTCGTATATCCACCGCGCATTAATTATTCGGCGCCATTAAGCGAACCTAACCCAACTTGGGACGGCTCGTGAGAGAGAGAGCGAGAGAGGGAGAGAAAAGAAACGCGCGGACGGCACGGATGCTTGTCCCGGGGAGCATCCTTGTGCAAGGATAGACCCAGGTTAATGACGTGAAAGGGCACACATGTAGGCGAAATGCGGAGTAGGAGAGAAAGATGCGAAGGTGATGGGAAGAGAGCGAGAGAGGTGATAAAGGAGGGGTGAAGGAGAGAGGGGTATACGCGTGACGGAAGATATACCTTGATGTTCTGAGGTGGATCCTCGAAGGTCAGGAGCATGTAACGATCCCCACGGCTCTCCGGCGATCTCTGTCGTACCTGGAAAAGGATTATTTCACTATTTCTCTTTTTCGTCGCTTCACGCGGGACACGCGACGACGACGGTCCGTGTTACCCTCCTCGTCACCGAGAAGGCTAGGTGCCCGAAACGAGAGAGAAAGAGAGAGAGGAGACGAAGAAAGGGAGACGCGGAGAAGGAAGGATATACTTCTCTCTTCTTTTCCCTTCTCGTCCCCTTCCGTCCCTCGGCATCCCGTGCGAACACGACGACGAGGACGGTGACTCGGTTTCGGACTCCGCGGCGCGCGGCGCGGCACGGCGCGGCGCGGCGCAGCGTAGCACGGCGCGGCGCGGCGCAGCGTGGCGTGTAAAAAGCTGTCCGCATCCTCCGGGGCGTACCTTCACGAAGGTCTCCACGGCGCTCTTGGCTACGTCCAAGAGCGTGGGTCGCCCACCCAAATAAGCCCTCTGATTCATAGAGGCCGACGTGTCGATCAGAAATACTATTATGGTCATCTTCGGGGTGACGACGGTTCGACGGTAGCGGTGGCGACGGCGGTAGTAGTGACGGCAACAGCAACGGCGGTGGCGGCGGTGGCAGCGGCGGCGACGACGACGACGGCGGCGGCGGCGGCGGCGGTAACGAGACCCGAGTCGCGCTCGCGCGTCGTAACGTGTTCGTGTTCGTTTGTTAACTGACGGGCGCCGAGATGCGGCTGGCCCGTCGGAACTAGCTAGTTAGGCGCCCTACGGCGGCGGCGGTGGCAGCGGCGACGGCGGCGACGACGACGACGACGACAGCGGCGGCGTGGAGCATAGCTGCCACGACCATTGAACGGCTCTTGGAGCTCTGCGAGCGAATACGCTCTCTGAAAAACTTCTCTTTTATCGTAACGGCGCTCGCTTGGTCCGTTTCTCTCTCTTTCCTCCCCTCCCCTCCCGCCCCCTCCTACTCTCTCGCTCTTTCGTTTGTACGTTTACCGCGGGCACCGCGGCATGTATGTGTTATATATATATATATATACCCAATGAATCATATGCCCGCGCGAGAGTACTACGCGATCGGAGTATAAGGGTATATATTGCGTATGTGTGCGCTGCCACCCTCCCGCACACCTTCCCCTCCGAAATCGCCGTCGATCTCCTTCTCTTCGCTACGCCGATCTAACCTATCTCCCTCGTGTTCGTGCGCTCCCGACGAACTCCGTCCTCGTCCCTCTCCGGATCCCGCAGGTCGCGCCCTCTCGGTCGGTCGAGGGTATACCACGTAAACGACAGTGGAGCGTGCCACGTGATCGCGTCCGACGCCCCGCCATTGGTCCCCCACCGCTCCGCTCGCGCGTTACAAGACTTACAAGCTGCACAGCCTCGGTGCTGCACTCCCGCGACGTTCCGTCCTCGTCACGCCAGTGGCCGCGCGGACCGACCCGCGGCCGACGTCTGTCGCTGTCCCGACTCCCGAGTGCGGAACGCGGCGCGCGGAAGGTGCACGAGGAGGGACCTACTTCTCTTTTTTTCTTCCGATCGACTTGTCGCATCACCGTGCAACGTACGTTACTTTGTAGCGCTTTGGGGAATACAGCTCACGTTCGTCCGTTCTCCACGCGCCTGCCTTCGCGTTTGCGTTCTTTTGCGAGACGAAAGGGCGATCGAGCGCTTTTCGAGGGAAAACGTACGCGGGGACGGGCTCTGCTCATCGTCTCGATTGTTCCAAACTACAGGTGCCCGGCGACCACCGATATAAACATATCGGACGGCTACGCGCTGCGTGTATGTAGGTGGAAAAACATCCATATTGATTTTACAAACTTGTACAAATCCGCTGTACGTCTAATCAATGTAAAACAGCTGCAGTTTAGCAGCGGGGTATAATAATGGTACAGGCAGTATAATAGCATGTATAGCGGTAACAGCTGTACGCTGTATAGTAACGGAGTAATTAGAGAACGTTTTATTTGCTAAAAGTAGATCCAACAGTTCAAGCTCTAAAACTTAGCTTAGTCGTAATCAATTGGTGAAAAAAATTTATAAAAGTATAAACATTAAAATCGTTAAAATTCATCTCCGCAGAGCGTCTCGGAGCGTCCGCGGCACCGCGTCGTAGGACCTCAGCGAGAGCGCGGCGGCTCTCAGAGCCACGGAGACGCAACCGATCTCGTCGAGATCCTTGTGTATCCCGTAGATGATCCCGGCCGTGAGGCAGTCCCCGCAGCCGCTCACGCTGAGTATCTCGCCCGTCCTTTCCGCGCCATTGACGATGGGATAGAGTCGGGACGCGACCGAGGAATCGGCGATCAGTCGGCCACGCTCGTCGTAGAAGGGCCGGTCTTGCGAGGCTCTGCGGGTCACCTGCGAAATTAGAAAGTACAGCGAGACGTGTCGAAATGAGATACGTCGGTCGCTGCGTTAAGATTTGGACAGTCCGACTTTTTTTTTTTTTTTTTAAACGCAATCGAGATGCGCACCATCACTCCCTGCGCCCCCAAGGTGGTCACGACGACGGGAATGTGTTCGACCAATTGCTCGGCCACGCTTCTCGCGGCCGCCTGCTGCAGGTCCGGGTCCGCGGTAACGGGGATGTCGAAGTGCTCGCCTATGACTCTCAGCTCGTTCCGGTTAGGCGAGACGAAGTGCAGCACGTCTCTCCATTGCGGTCCGACCTGGAATATCCTCGCCGCCTTTTTAACGTCCGTGGGCTCGTACCAGACTGCCGAGACAAATTAATAAGATCCTTTTTTTTATTCCCGTCTTGCATATATTCATTAGAATTATTTCAAGCGTTTTTGTTGCTGTATAAACTCATTGCAGTACATATGTATATTAGTTAGAAGCGTATATATGCTGATTTTGCAAAAAAGGACAAACGAAAAAAGAAAATTGGAAAGAATAAAGATTTTATGTTAATTTTCGTTTATGGATACAAAAAGTTTCGCCGCGAAGGATGGCACCGAGGGGAAATGTCGTCGAAATTCCAGAGGGGGAGGAGGGGGCATTGCGGCACGCGCAACGCGCTCTCTGGCGCTCGCACGCCGAGCTAGGCTGAGCTGAGCTTCCTCCGAGAGGAAGCCGCATACTTCTGTGTTCCAGGCGAGCTCGCGAGACATCGCGAAAGCGAGGAGTTCACCCGTTCCTTCTCCGCCGTTCTTCGTTACGTATCACATCCGAGTGACGAGCGCGAGTGATGGGGAAGACGAGGACGGGCAAGGCCGCCATCGCGTGCACGGCGGTGGCGTTCGTTCTGGTGGTGATCGCGTTCACCACACCCAACTGGCTGGAGACCGACGGGAAGCTGGACAATCCGCAATTCGTCAAGATCGGTAAGATTTGTACGCGACCGGAAGCGCGCATACGCGTCGATCTGTGTCTATAAATAAGTTGGAATTTTAAAAAATACCGTTCAAATATTGGGCATGGGGAATTGCCAATTTTTGACAATTGGTCTCTGCTACAAGATGTTGTCGAGTAAACACGCCGCGTTAAACATAATAAAGGTTGATCAGAAAATGATTATTTTGCTCGTTCCTTTTCTTACTAGAATTTTTTTCTAAGCTTCTCGTGGAATGGTAATTGTGTTTGAAGAACTACATTTTTTTTTTTTCGAAACATGTCCCTTTCTGCCATGTTCCAATTAATAATTTGCCTTCTAATAACGCGACGTTACAAGCGTGAGACATTTAGCTTCATCTGGCAGCGACAAAGCGATTGAGAATCGACTGTTTTTACAGGTCTCTGGCAGGTATGTTTCCAAGGATTTCAGGATCCACGTCATCTCTATGACACGAGATTCTATGGCTGCTGGTGGGTGTTCGAGGAGGAGTATTACATCATACACGACATACTTCTGCCCGATTTCTTCGTCGCCACGCAGTTCTTCTTCACGCTGTGCATGACCCTGTTGCTGATCGGAAGTTTCCTGACCATTTTGTACACCTGCTGCTCGCGCCTGCACGACAAGTATCAGCTGCTCCTGTGGGCGACCGGCGGCAACTTGACTCTGGCGGGGGTGTGCGGCGTTATAGCCGTGATTATATTCGGCGCCAGAGGCGACGGCAGGGATTGGATGCCCAATTGGGAGCACAACGACATCAGTTGGTCCTTCGCCTTGGCGGTCGTGGGCAGCGTGGTCCTGATCGCCGCTGGTATCCTCTTCCTGATCGAGGGACGTAGGCACAGGAAGAAGCAGGAGCGAATATTGAACGAGGAGCAAAAAACGCACACGACCATTTAGCATATCTTTACGTCGTAATTTCTAACGCCGAGCGGACAAACATTCGCGAGCATCAAATAATCGCGAAGAAAAAAAGCGCAAATCTTATCCATTGAACACGCATCACGCGGATAAATCTTTGAAGACTAATAATTTTATATTGTTACACATTTACTCATCGTAACATTCTATAGGATCTGTCGATATATTATCTAAAGAGTATATATACGATTTTAAATATATAGACTAGGATACGCGAAGCCATGGATTATCCTTGCGTCGAAAAAATGTTTAAATTATATAAAATATTTTCTATAAAAAAAAAGGGGAAGAAATGCACAATTTTGGAGTAGCTAGACAAATGAAGTAGCTAGATTTTATGCATCGTAAGTGCTATTAAATGTGTTCTATGTGGCGCACATATCTGAAAACAATCCGTCCATTTATCCATATATTGTTTTCTTTTTATTAAAAAAAAAAGAAACGTAAGGTCTAATTTTATACATGTACATAAGTTCTATATAGATATATTAATGTTGCGAGAGATGTGAATCTCCCACTTGTATACCGTAATACACGGATATAATAAAAATAATTTTTCCTAATTAGTTAGCGTGTGTCGTCACTCTCGAATATTTAGATTGCGTGTCACGATCCTCGAAACGCGAAATTAAATCAATTACACGTACCTCTGCGCGCGCGGTGACCCACATTGTTCTCGCGAATTCATCGCGAGTTACGGAGACGCGGGTCTCCCTCGCGTGCACGCGATAGGTATCGCGGAGGAAAGTGTCCGTCGTGTTTTGACCCAATTTATATTATAGCTATTCTAATCGACCGCGCGCCTGAAGCTTCCGCAGTTATACTTATGTCAGCCCGCGGCCGGGCCTGACGTAATGCGTCATCGTGGATCGCGCGCGTTGAGGTTTCTCCTCCGAGGTGACGCGTCTTGAGGAATTTTATTCACCGATGATTCGTAATGGTCGCGTATGACTGTGGCATAATTTTCATTGTGATTCATTGTCAATTTTACAGGATGTACATCTCGCATTTCTATACGAATGTTAATGTCTTTTTTTTTATATATAGAGAAAGAAAGAGCAAGAGAAAACATAAATGAGAATGATGTAAATGGAATTTGTAAGACCAGCGGAAGTCACGTATTCAAGGAAAGAGAGCGTTAATATTCTCTTCCTCTCGTTGAGCAATTTTTTACCGTCCGTTTTAGACGAGCTCTCTGATTCTCGGATATTTCAGGATAGAAACCAGCGCGCGTTTTAATTTTTTGCCGCACATTTCGACGTGCGAATAATGCATTAAAAAAAATTTATTACGCGTACTCTACAAGTTCTTCTCGTTGCGTAAAATAACAGAGAATTGCAGAACGTTATTCTGAATTACATGATAATTTTATCGATCGTCTGTGCGACAGGCTTGGAAAAACGTATTTATCCGCGGTCCGCTTACGTCCTACAGGAGCAAGGTCGGAATGCGTTCATGGGAGAGAAAACGATACACGCGTAAATAAGACGCGATACACGCGGTGACACATGCACCTTGACGGACGCAGGGACGACGAGAGGAGAGGCGGCAAGATCATCGGGAGTTTCCGCGAATCTCTTGGGGAGAACTTGTTTCCTCTTCAGGGAAAGAGAAACGCTTCCTTCTCCCTCGTCGTCGGGCACATTTTGATGCGTGCGATCTGTCAATCGATCTTTTTATTGTCCCATTTCATATTTCGTAATATATCTATTAAGAATGGGCATATTTTTTTTTCTTGCTTTTTCCTCTCAGAACCCCGAGATGTCTTCGTGGACGGTCCTGCACGGATTCGTTACGTTTTAACGTTCCCCGCTCCGTGGGATACTTGCGCGTGGCTCGAGGTGAGACGCTGGTTGGGGTTAGGTTAGAACTCGGCCGTTCGCTCCGCCAATAACGCGGGCCGCTTGGGTGTGGTTATTAGTGCCGTGGGACCGTCGGACGACGTCAGGTAGGATTGTGTTTCATGAGAGCGTAGTTTACGCTGCGCGTCCAGGCGGCTGCACGCACGGACGGTGTTCTCTGTCTCTCTCTCTCTTTCGGTCTCTCGGGGAGCAGCAACACGCGGGGAACGGAGAGCGGCGACATGAAGAAGAGGAGCCTGTCCGGCAACGTCGGCGTCGGCGTGTTCCTGGTGGGGTTCGTCTGCGTGTGCGTCGCGTTCGGTACGCCCTCCTGGCTGGTCAGCGATCCGCGGATCGTCGGGGCGCAGCTCGACCGACTCGGCCTGTGGCGGCACTGCTTCAGGTCGCTGCCGAATCCCCAGGAGTCCGACGCGCCCAGGCGGTTCTTCGTCGGCTGCAGATGGGTCTACGACCCGTTCACCGCGGGCTACTCCGAGATCCGCGGCTTCCTACTGCCTCGTAAGTATATAGTCGTCGCGTTGACGACGCGGGACGCGTTCAAGCGGGAAAACTGCAGTGTTCCTAACGCTGAACTGCAAATCTTTAATTTTTCTTCCGGAAAAAGAGATTTACTTTATTATTAGCGGAATAGTACCTTAAAACAGTTTAGACCTTAAGAATAGTCGTCGAATTGAGTCGACAAAATAATGTGTTTGCTGATAATAATAATAAGCTAAGAACCTTTACTGCTTGTTGTAACGCAAAATGTCTTTTTTTTTATTGCAGCTTTTATGATAGCCACGCAAGTGTTCTTCACAATATGCTTTTTGCTGGGTCTAATATCGTTCTTTCTGGTACTGCTCTTCACTCTGTGCTGCGATCCAGAGCGAAAGAGATACATCGAACTGATAACCACCATCGGTTACTTGCTGCTGGCAAGCGGCCTCAGCGGTGCCTTGGCGGTCATCATATTCGCCTGCCTCGGTAACGCGGACGGTTGGATGCCCGGACACGCGAATAATTATCTAGGATGGTCCTTCGCTCTGGGCGTCATCGGCAGCGTCCTCACGCTGATCGCGAGCGGCTTGTTGCTGGTAGAGGCAACCGTGCAGCGAAAGAAACGGGACTACGTGAAGGAATCTCAAACGCGTTTTCAACTCGAATCGCGCGCCTAGAACGAATTAGCACTTCCCGACCGTTCGCAAGAATTGCGTCACCAGCGTACGTACTAAAAGTCTGTAGTATTATTCCGTCCATGAAGGTGCAACTTTTTTATCTTTTAGAACTGTTCTCTTTCTGTAGACTGTACAAAAAAAAAAGAAAACAAACAGATCTGAATTAATTTAAGTCAAAAAAATACGTAATTTTAATATTTTTGTATGATATTTTATATCTCTTTATATGATACATATATAAGATTATTGTATTGTACGATAATATTATTAACGATATATAATGAGACGATATATGCGCGTCTTAAAATACTTGCAGAAAAATTCGCAAAAAATTTAATATAAGAAGGGTCCACGATTTTTTTTGAAACAATATGCCTTTTTAACATAAAGATTTTTAAAGTTTGACTAAAATTGTGTGATTATGGTGTAAACAGTTGTCCATTCGCGAATGTGTGTGTATGATTGTGTTAAAATAATCGCGCGATCACTTTTCTTTTTCTATCTAAAGGATAGAATTTTCTTTTCATCCAATTAAGATACGTCATTCTTTGAATCTCCCTCCATTCTTTCGATAAATATATATTTCATTACAGTTTTACAGTTTCAAATGTGATTAGTCACGGATTTTTCTGTGTATTGTTTTGAGACGCGAATTATGAAATGCCTTGTAGATTGTATCTACGTATATATATATATTGTATATTATATTATTAAGTTTTACGCACGAGATTTAGATAGTCGCACAATGCAGCTATGCATTTTCCAATATATCTGAGGGAATCTAACGAGATTAATAGGAACTTGGAAGCAAATTTTGTAATTCCGTCCTTTACCAAATAAAACTTCTAATACAAGATCTTTTAATTTGTACAGCCTATCAATAATCTCGCTTAAATTTGTACATCTGAAATTCAAATAAATTACATCTCTCGACAGAGATAGGATTAAATTAAAGTAAATCTGAAACGCCAATAATTCGAGACAGCTAATGAAGGACAAGTTTTTTTTTCTCCGATTCTTAACGAAGGAGTTATTTATTAAGTCCCTCCAATCAGCACTATTCTTTTCATGTTTACGATCCATATGTTTCGTGCTGTATATATGTATGTGAAAAAAAATACACACGAAGGATGACAGTCTACTTTATCAACAGACGGAGAAGAACCACCTGTTGGTAAAGTATGTTAACGTCTTTCTGTTGGTAGTATTGATAACAGCGCGGCGTGAAGCCATTGGGTGTGGCGAAAATCTCGATAGAGAGGTGCGGACTGCGGTGACGAACGAAAACAATAATCGTGAACGAACGAATTATACGAGTCCAGTCAGTCAGTCTCACGTTGGCCTTTCTAAAAGGCCATCATGACGGCGGACAAGCAGGATTATCACCGAGCGTCCAGTGAGTAATTGATTAGGTCGATCGGCGGTGCGTTTTTTTTTTTACCTGGAGTAACCTGTACCATAATCGTTTCTCGCTTTCGTTGACAGACGCGGCCGTTTTCGGCGGTGGGCTCTCGTTCGTGGCGCTCTTCCTCCTGATGATGGCCTTCATAAGGTAAACGTTATCTCCGAGCAACTGTTTACAAGCGTCTCAAAAATTGACTTGGAAAGCGTACGAGAGCGATATTACTGATCACCCCCCCCCCCCCTTGATTTCCAGTCCGTATTGGATAGAGTCGTATCAGGAGACGTTCAGCAACTTCAAGCACATGGGACTGTGGGAGTATTGCTTCGAGCAATTCCGTTATCCCTTCTATCAGTTCGACAAGCAATTCGACGGCTGTCACCATATATTTTCGCAAGAGTATTACGTCATAAGAGAGTGGCTGCTGCCGGTGTGGCTCATGATCGTGCAGGCGTTCGTCACGCTGGCCCTGATGTTCTCCATCTTCTCCTTCCTCGTGGTCGCCCTGATCTGGACACGTTGGCCGTTGAGATTCGTCCTGCATTACGAGTGGATCCTGTCGTCCGTCGCGTTCGTGTGTGACGCAGTAGCCGGTGAGTGTAAGAGCGTTTAGAGTTAAAGATAAGAAGAAGACATCGAACTCGGGTTTTTCAATGCGGTTTTTGCTCTTTAATTTCAGGCGCGCTTCTCTTCCTGGCGGTCTCGATATTCGGCGGGCAGTGCTGGCGTCGGGACTGGTTGATGTATCCGAATTTCAATCACCTGTCGTGGTCGTACGGACTCGCGGTCATATCGTTCATGATCCACACGTTCGCCGCGTTCTTCCTCTATCTGGACGCGCGGACGGGTTACCGATTGCGCAAGGAGTCCCGCAACTTGGTGATGCAGATGCAACCGAATCCGCAGTCTCATCACGGGCCGCCACGAAGCGGATACGTATAATGTAACGACAAATCGAGGTGCTCTTGACGAAAAAATTTTATTTCCGCGTAAAGCTCTTAACGTTTATTTCTAATGAACAAGCGAAGGATCTGTCTCTGAGGAAAGACTTGTACACTATCTGTGTTCGATTTCAATCCGTCCACTTATATTTGTTCATTGAAAATAATGACGATACGCAAGCTCTGTGTGCTTTGTATATGCAAGCTCTTATCGTTATTTTTCATGAATAGATCCGTGAAAAGAGTGGTCGACCGTAGTCGCGGCAGGTCCCGGGTTTCGATCCCGACCCTCATTCCCAGTATGCCTCACTCTTAAAGAGATTGATTCGAAGAGTTGAAAGTTGAGCGAAGAGAATATAGAGGTGAATGATAAAATCTGTTTCGGGAATCTGTATTTCATTTGTATTTACATTTAATTTAATCTTTTAAGAACACGTGCGCTAGAATTGTCGCCTTCTCTCTCTTGAACTAATTAACTTACACTCGATTTTCTTTAGGCTAATTATGCTTATGCGTGAATAATATCCGTCCATTGTTACATATTCACGCGCGCACATAATTTTTTTGTATATCTCAATTTTGATATATATATATTTTATAAATATATAATACGTATACATGATAGAATTACATAATTTGATTTATAAATGTGTAGGAAATTAATAAACGAAAACATATTTTGTTTCGTGAACGAAACGATAAATTACTGCGAAAGTATAATTTTCACTCACCTGGAATGTTCGCTTGCGACGCGACGTCGAGCACGTAGCGCATGGTGTCCAATTCGAGATTAGCGTCGAGAACGATGAGACTCGCCTCTTCGAGATGCGACCGATACTCCTTTATCAACCGCGGGGTGATCGCGGCGAAGGAAGGCTCTATTTCGCTGACGCAGAAGCGACATTCACCCTTGACGTCCACGACGACCGTGAACCTGTAACATTAGCGGTGTTTAATTTATAAAATGTAAACGGATTTGTTGATATATCCGGACAATTCGAATCTTCGTATCTTGAAGATACGCGCACGAATTTAATCTTTTAAGAACACGTGTTTTAGGATTGTCGCCTTCTCTCTCTTGAGCTAATTAACTTACACTCGATTTTCTTTAAGCTGATTATGCCTACGCGTGAATAATATCCGTCCATTGTTACTCACGCGCGCATAATTTTTTTTGTATATCACAATTTATATATATTATACAGAATCTACAGAATTTACCGTACCGCGCGGTGTCCACGTCCGACGTGCGTTTCACCGTCTCGCCTCCGGCTCCTAGGCTCTTGAGAATTTCCTTCCCTTGCTCGTCGTCGCCGACGACGGATATCAGACGCGTGTTTTCCAAGCCAAGTTGGAGCAGCGCGTCGGCGACGTTTCGACCGACCCCGCCGCAGCTGCATCTGCTTTGGCCGTTGTACGTCGCACCGTCATGCTGAAAGAATAAATTACTTTCTCTCTCTCTCTCTCTCTTCAGGAATCTACATGAATTGCGCTGGTCATAATCAATCGATTTTTCACGCGAAAGTTATATTTTCCGCGTGGCAAAGAGGGAGAGGGAAAGATTAGAACCGTAAAAGAGCGTGAAAAAATTGCGTTGCAAAAAGAGGAGTGGGCCTACACTTTCTTCGAAAGCTTTCTGTAAGGGGTGGTTTACTTTGGACGCGCATCCGACTTTCTCTTCTTATAAAGATTCAATTACGTCGAGCGTTCGTTGCGGGGTCGCAGACGGCCGAGAGCGGGTTACTTGGGGGGAAGCATGCGAAGACCCCATCCCTACAATATTCAACTTGGCATATAGTGTTCACCCCTTCCGTCCACCTCACCCCGTGTCCCTATATCTTATTGTTAGTGTATAGTATAACCGGTGCCTACGTAGTTATCTCCGCTCTATACTCTCCTTCGCTCTCCGTCTCTTTCGCACTTCCACCGCGTCCGGTGGTAACATACGGCTGGACATTTTTATCTCTCCACCTCTTCCTTCCACCTCGGCTCTATTTCCACATATTCAACGCTGTGCTTGGGGATGCGCGTACCCTCCCGCGCGCGAGCGAGAGACCTTATCGGTCGGATCCATATTTCTCGCAACGGCACGGTACTCTCCGGTTTCGATCTTGTGAACAAGGAGACCAGTGTCCCGACCGTTCTTTCGTAGCGCGAAATAGTGATATTGAAATGTGAATTTATCCCCTGCGTGAGACGCCCCCTCGACTTAGTGGTAGATCGAAGCGGAGCCCACTTCGCCCACCTCCGATCGTCCGTCCTTGCACACTCCCTTCGCGTGTCTTCCCTCTATCTATCAGTCTGCCTTGCGAACGGCGACGGCGGTGGCAGAGCAGGCAGAGTCTCCTCACGCCAGTCCGGTTGCCTATCTCGGGCGCTGTTCACGGTGGTGACTACCCCCGGATACCGCATGTTCTCCACATCGATAGGATATCAAGAGAAAGAGAGAGAGACAAGAAGAGAGACAGTAAGAGATAATCAAGATAGATAGGTAAAGAGCCGCGCGTGTCCGCCTGGAACATCGGCCTATGCATCAGGCGCGCGGGGCGAGAAGCGTCGGGTGCCGTGGCCGCGGCGTCGCGGCGGCGGCGACGTCGACGACGACGACGACGACGACGACGACGACGACGCTCGGTCGCGCGCACGAGCTCTCGACTCTGCGTGATCCGTGGCAGTGAGAGGCAGCGCGTCGCGTCGCGTCGCGCCGCTCCACGAAGCGTCGTGCGAACGACATGCGCTACGGCTGGCGGCGGCCTTGCCAAGTGTCGACTGTGACCAGGAGGACGGGGACGAGGCCGAGGCCGAGGCCGCGGACGAGAGCGAGGACGTCGACGGCGGTGAGAGCCAGGACAACGGGGACGGGAATAACGCCGGTAACGAGGAAGCCGAGAACGAAGGCGAGGACGTCGTCGAGGTGGTGCTGCTGGTGAGAGGTGTCACGCATGACGAGGAAACGCGGGCGATGAACGACGACGTCGTGGACGACATTGCCGAGGAGGACTCTCGCGGCGATGCCCGTGACGGAAGCGCTACGGGCATCACGACGACGACGACGACGACGACGAAGACGGCGACGACCGCGTTCCTCGTGCACACCCCGACCGTCGTACGATCGGCCCGACTGCAGACGACACCCGGTCGCAGCGATTTCATGGCGGTCCCGGCGAACGAGATCGCGCCTCCGCGATCCGCGTGCACGTAGGCTACCAAACGACGTCGTGAGATTTGCGTCGTAGAAGGCGCGTTTCCCAATCTCTCGTCGACTCTCTCCGAGGAAGATTTCGCCAGAAGATTATACCTGCTCCTCGAGTGTTCTTTCGCGTCTGTGCAAAGTAGTCGCGGATGTCGAGAAGTCGGAAAGAATCGACTCAACGAAACGGGCTCGCTTTCCTCGAAAAGACTCTTTCCCTCCTCGAGGATCTTCCCTGAAGAAAAAAAGATCTCTTCCTAAAGGACACAAGAATTACGAAGACCTTGCTTCGCCAAGAGAAAGAACATTCCTTGACATCGCGCGTGCCTTTCGTCCGGACAAGTCTTACGCAGAGGTATCTAAATGGATCGAATAAGCCGGGTCAGCACCGCGAACGGTGTCATCCCTTCGCGGAATAATCATCCTCCTCCTTTCCCTCCTCGAACCTCCTCGCCGAAAAGACCGCGTTCGCTATGGTATACCAAAAGAGATCCTTTGGTGCATCGGGACGTGTCGCCGAGCGACTGATCGAAACGTATTCGAGCGCTCCGAGGGTGCCACGCGTCGCGTCCACGGCCCCACGCCATCCCGACCGACGAACACGGGCGCGCTGATCGGCCCGTTGATCGTGCGGTCGGCGGCGGAGACCGTGAGACGGATTCGCGTGACGCGTGACGGGGCGTGCGGCATGCGGCACTCCCCCCGTTGTTGCATGCGGCGAAAATAGGACGAGGCGTAGCGATCACGACGTTAAATTCCTTCGGGAAGGTCGGGAGGAAGATTGCATAACGCCACGTTCCCTCCCTACATCCCATTGCCTACAACCCTCCTCGTCACCGTTCTCCACCTCCTCCTATCCCTCCCCCTGCATGCGCGCGCGCGCGCGTCTCGTCATCCTTTTTCCACCCTCTAGTTTTTCGCGCCTCTTCTTATTCAGGGGATATGTCACCTCGTATCGATATCTAATTAAAGGCTACCCGATAATCTTTTTTTATCGCACGCTCGTCTCTCCGCTCTCCGCGGTAAGGCGTGCGGTAGCTCCACGTCTCATCGTCCCTCACTCCGGCATCCGGCGTCGGGAAAGGATTGCACGCGGTACGTCGCGCGACATCGATCCGCGCGCGCCCGTTCTCTCTCGCTCTCTCGCTTTCTCTCTCTCTCACACTCCTTTTTTTCCCTCCGCGGGATTATGTAAAACAGGCAGTACTGGACGCCGGCCAGGACGTTGACTGCTCGTCTTCGTGACGTTGGGAATTGTTTCTACGTTAGAACGAAAAGAGGTAATCGTGCGCTATGTCGATACCTCTCCTCCCTCTATTCCTCCCCCTCCCTCCCCCTTTCGTCTTCTCTCGCCGTCTCTCGTATACACCTTCCTCGTTTCGTGTCGTGGTGTGGAGCGCGCGCTAACGCGCAGGGTTTAAACGATCGATGGGCCCTTACCGCTCTCTCGCTCTTCCGTGTTTTCATTACAATGCGCCACTCGCATATACTCGTGGCAGCGGTGGCGGCCCGCTTCGTCTGCATGCACATGCAATGCCGATGCACGGAAACGGGAGCACGCTTTGGCGCATCGCCCTGACCGTGTCGACGATGTCGTCGGCGATGCATGTCTGTGTTCGCGACCCTGACGAGGACATCCCGTGTGTAAAGAATGCCGAGATTTATCATTTTGCATGTAATACGATTTCTCTGCATGTAATGACGATTTTCCGCTTTGTTACTTTTGTCCCTATTCCGCCCAAATTATTTTTCCGGTCATTTCAACCCCTTTGTTCAATCCTGCCCTTTCGTAATCGTATATACATATATATATATGTGCCTCTCCTCGCATTCGTCAGGGTAGGTTGTCTCTGCGGTTCTCCCGACGCGACAGTTCGCCGAGCCGGCGACGCTTTCGTGCCGATACACTCACTCAGGCGCATATCCTCTCTCTATCTCGCACGATTTATCTCTGTCCCTCCTCGGAGAAGCTACATAGAGCTAGGCAGCGGAGGATCGATAAATAGAATCGCCTATCGCACGCTACAACTGTCAGAAAGAAATACAATCCGCCGAGGCGCACGCTAGCCTTTCTCCCGCTATTGGCTTCGACTTGGAAACGCACGCACGTTGAATTCCGGTGAATTCCCGCTAGTCCTCCCCCGCGTGTCCTCGTTTTAGATCGAGGGAGGACGGGCAAGGGGTGAAAATGTCAAACTGTGCGGCATGATGAAGACAAGCGATCCGAGATCGAAGGTCAAATCGAAAAGCTTTGGACCCTAAACATTTTCAAAAGTTCGAGTAGTATTTATAGTTTTAGTATAAAAAACAGAAAAACCGTCCCCGAAAATGTGTGTGTAGGAATATACATATATATATATATATATATATTTGTCACACCTTTTGCGAACATATTTCTCTTTCTGCAGGAGGATCGTTCGTCGTTCCAGTTGCCGGAACATTGCCGAAGACCGCCATCGCGGTGCTCAACGGTGCACGACGACAAGTGCGCGTGACACGAGGGGGACAACCATGAACGTTACCACCAACGACCTTCCGGTGCGGCAATGCAGCACGACGACGTGCCTCGCGTGACTCGCGCCGGTCACGAGTAAAGAGGATCGGTCTCCTCCTCCTCCGCCACCACCAACCCTCGCGTAAGTACCGCGGCGGCGGCGGCGACGACCACCACCAACGGTGCAACGCGCTGGCCCGTCTCTCCTGTTCAGCCCCCCGCGTCCGCGGGGCACAATCCTTACGACGAGGACACGCACACCAGGGTGGCACGATAGTATGACGGTGATGCTGCTGCAACGTTCAGTCACCCCGCAGTCGACGCACAGCCAAAAGACAGCGACGAAGGACTGCAGCGCGAAGCCGCCCTTTCTCTTTCTACTGGACGACCGTGAGGAGCATCGGCACTCGACCGATACCAACACCACGACAACCACAAACAACAATAACAACAACAATAATAATAACAATAACAATAATAACAATAACGTCAACAATAATAACGTCTTCAAGAGAGGCGACCAGAGGAGCAACAGCCGCGATCACGTCGCCGACGAGGCGCCGTCGTCGGTGACGTCCCAACGACTCGCCGGCGGTGGTCAGGACGTCGCGATGCGATATTACCGCCTCTGGATCTACGCCTGTAACCTGGTGCTGTTCGGTAGCGCGATCGGCTTCGCCGCCGCGGTGTCGCAGACCCTCCTGTTCACCGGCGACCCACGTAGGCACTTGGTGCCGGGTGTACCCCGTGTCTACGACCCCACCGCGCTCTACGGCTATCTGGCACTGACGGCGCAGCTAGGCCTGGTGCAGCTGCTCGGTTGCATCGCCGCCAGGCGGCTCAGCGCCCGGCTGCTCCACGTCTACTGGATCCTACTGCTGATACTGCTGTTCGGCGACGCCGTGGTCGGCGTCGCCTGGATCTTCCGCTTCGAGAAAATGCGCGCCGACCTCAGGCCTACGCTCAGGCTACGTTTGCAGGTGCGCTTATCGATATAGCCTCTCCTTGGTTCAATATATCTAGGGCTCCTGGTCCGCTCGCTGGCGTACCGCATTACGTCAGAAGCGGAAAAACATGTGAGCTTTTTCTCTCGCCCTGTGTATCGAAATAGATTAGTTTCTTGCGCGTCAAAGCTCGTATTCGACGAAACAGGTCCGTGAGATGTGCCGAAAAACTCTCTTTAGTTCGCCGACTAGTAAATAGTTGTCTGTAGGATTGACTTATATTTTCATATAGTATAAGTAGAGAGTTTTTTTTTTTTTACTGAATGACGGCATGCGTAGAAATGCGATTTGTATACCGATATACAACACGAAAAAAGAATTTACACGACTCTTCGCTTCTTCGATCGAGAGACAAAGATCCAGGAGCCTCTGGTGTTCGTTCCCGATAGATTAACACACACCGTAAATCGAGGTGACGATTTCTCGTCCGCAGATGGACTACAATAAGGAGCCGCGATTCAGCGAGCAGTGGGACCGACTTCAGCGGGAGTTCATGTGCTGCGGGGTGATCGGTCCCAGGGATTTTCCAGGAAACCGCTGGCCGCAGACCTGCTGCGGACCCAGCGTGAACGCGAGCGACCCCTGCCCGCACCCGTACACGCGCGGCTGCGAGGAGACGCTCGTACGCTGGCTCAGGAAGACCGCGGACCTGCTGTTCGTCCTGGGCTTCTGCGTGATCGCCTTCGCCAAGCTCTGCTTCCTCGGCATCCTGCGCTACGAGATACGGGAGATGATACAGAAGATACGATTGCTGAGGGAGCCGCCGCCGCCGGCCACGCCGTTCGCGCAACCGCCCTTCACCCAGGTGCTGCCGGAAACGGCCAACAACGGCAGCATCGTGAGACGCACAACGTTACCTAACGCGGTTATGCCTTCCGGTAAGTGCCAGTTTAAAATATCTCCCTAGCTTGTTGAAAACACCGTCGAGAATTTACTGTCGACGATCAATTACTTAACGTCGAAATTCGAGGACGATCCTAATTTTAGCTCCTGGTCATTTTATTGTTGTTTATAGAATAGAATCTTTATGTCATACATCAGTGATTTTGAGTAACAACTTGCATGTATTAATCGTCACTTTTTACATGTCTTTTTTCTTATTCGAGTATCGACCGTATCTATATACAGTAGAAGTAGAAGATGACAAAACAATCGAGATACCTGACAGGAAGGATACGATTTTTTTTTTCGGGGGGAGGAAGAAACTATCTGTCATCCTCGTTTTCAGGCAACGCGTCGCTGTTGCTGCAGTCGGACGAGTGCAACGCCGGCCGGCATCCGCTGCTGGCGAACAACCTGCAGGACGGCGGCGCCGACAGCGACACGAATAGCCACTGCGCGCTGATACTCGAGGAGACGACGCCTACCTCGACGAACAACCACAACAACTGCGGGGCCGGCGGCGGCCGTGAGAAGAGCAACGGTAACAACAACTACGAGATGCGTGAGTTTAATCGCAGGCTGCTGCTGTCGAACGGCACCAGCCCGGGCACGGGCGTCACCGTGACGCAGAGTAGGCGCACCTGACTATGGAGATGGTGGCGAAGCACCTCGAACCGTCTCCTGTACAGGAGCAATCGGCGGCGCGCCGACATACCGCTGTACAAGTAAACGAACGACAACCCTCTGTCAGACTCTTTCAGTTTTCTTTTTTAAGAGAGTAAACACATACATCTTAGCGAGCTACTGGCTGGCGCGAGTCCAACGGACGATGCGATATATACGTGAGGAAATTAACGCCGCCGCCGCCGTCGTCGTCGTCGTCGTCGTCGTCGTCGTCGATGTCGTCGTATCGGCGAAAGTGAAGGGGGTTGACAACCGCTGCGCAGCAGCGCGTCTTCTATAGCTCGCCCCTACCTCTTTCATCCTCGAGGTCTTATCGCCGATTTGCGATAGTGCGCGCTTAATACGTAACACCGAAGGGAAGACCGCGGCGACGGACGGCGTTGACGGTGAGGCACACGAGAGACCAAAGCATTCACGAATCGATATCACACACGGTGGAATTATACAGGACTACTAACGAAAGAACCAAATCAAAACATTTAAACATGTAACAAATAGTGCGAGAGAGAAAGAGAGCTATCTCCATTTTGTAAGGCAAAAACTCGCGAAACGGGCGTTTTAGATTCACGGAGATCGCGGCACGAGATTTCGCGCGCGAGGGGTGAAACTCCCCCCGATCGTCTCGCGCGATCCAGGGGATGGGAAAACAAAGAGAGAGAGAGAAAAAGAGAGAGCGAAATCCGAGGAACGTCGTTGCCCTATGATTCCTTAAAACGTTGCGGCGAGCAACTCACCCCGCGTTGAAAGACAATTCGAAGAAATCCATTCTATTTACGGCCCGTAACTCTCGTAGTCGTATGCTAATTTCGTCATCGTCGACGTCGAGCTATAGAGGGTAGGTGCACGCTAATTTTAAATGACCGTTAGAAACCACTTTCTTTAGTCTCCTGACTTTTACAGAATTAATCCGCCGCTTTTACACGCGAGCGCTTTCGCTGTGTTTGTGTGTGCGCGCGCCCTCGCTTACCCGCCCGCCCAGCCGCGACTAACATCGGCGGGGGTTGCTCATTAACTGCCCCGTGCAGCTCTCCTCGCAAGTGTATTTTATACATGTACATACGCCTTTCCGTCCTCGTATGGTCGGTGTGCATAACTACTTTTGCAGATTTATTTTTAGCCGCGAAACTTTCTTGCGTTACCCATATCCGAATAAAGCCGTCATCGATCGTGTCATCAGCGCAACCCGGGATCGCGTCCGTCGCGTCGTGCCGTTTCTCATTCGAAGATAACGTTCAAAACACACTACGCCGGTAGTATGTCACAGCCGAGTGTAACTATCGTCGCCTATAAATGACACACACGAAGCTCTTGTTCCCGCTCGGATCTCTCCGCGTTGGTTTGTCTCTCTTGGGCCGACAGTTTCTGTTCGAGTTAATTAAAGACTATCCGAGGTAGTAATCGGATATACTTTGTGGATTGCGTTTCTGTCTGGCAAAGCCCTTATCTCGACGGTACAGATCTATTCCCTTTCTCACTCTATTTTACATATATCGCAGAGATTGCTCGCTCTCTTGAAGATCTTGTAGATATTCATCCTCTGAATCCGCACATTATACGCGATTAAAGTATTATTATACCGCTATCAAAACAGCAGAGGCAGCGAATTTAATTTAACCGGCGTTAATCGATGTGTTTCCTACCGCGACAATCGGAAGAACGGTTACGATTCGAGACCCGTCAACGACTTCCGACTTTAGTCTGACTTGAGGAAACTTGAGGAAACTATGTCTTTGCGAGTTCACACGTTTTGATTCCTTTAATAATGCAGACAGACCGTGTGCCTGTCCAGACAAGCGAACTGTGCCTGACAGAAACATTACCGTCTAACCGAGCTATTGAATCTTCACGACTGCACTCCATGAAGTACTCCGTAACGATCCTTCGACCTTTAGAGATAATTGCGATAGTTACGAGAGGATATTGTGAGATACTACTGCCAAATTGAGCCTCCTCCTCCTCCCCCTTCTCCGACGAAGATGGTTGTCTAGACGAACTATTCTTGAGCGCGACGGGAGTTCGCTTAGTTTCCTCGTTAATAATACAATAGAGAGAACGAAAGGGCGGAGGAGGTGAGAGGGGAAAGAGATTTTCCCTAGTAGGCGACGATTAAATATAATTCCTAATCAGCTTTTACATATACATCTAAAAAGATATCGCGTCACGCAAGTAGCTTGTACACGTTCCCTGGACCGTCATTATCGGACTAAAATAAGCACGGACCGGAGTTATTTCATTCACTGCAGTTTTTCAACTGTTTCCTCCTTTTCTTTTCGCACGCCTCGTACGCCTCATCCGGTTGTCCCAATTACGAAGATCCGTCTTGTAAGCGACAAAGACGTAGCGCGTCTACACTCGAAATAATTGGCTTCCTAGCTAGGATTAAAAGGAATCTTAGGGTTATACATTTAATGGGGATGCAATGGTAACGGATACAAATACTGTAGTAGGCTGTATATATATATACCGGCATAGATAATAAGTGTCGATCGTCTGCTTAAGGAGAAACCGAGATATATTATCTGTTAATTATTCGAACGCACGTCACCGCCGATGTTACAAAACGGGACGCTTTACGTTGAATTCTCCCATCTATCGTAGTTGAATTTACGTGTCTCGAAATCTGGTGTTTTACACACACACACACACACACACACATGTCCAAGTATAATTACATTAGTCTGGAAAACAGGGTAATTATTAATCTCGAACTGGTTGCCTGACCATCCTTGGGCCACTATTTAACGAAGTAGAATACTCGCGCGTTGTCGCCGCGAGCAAGACAATTTGATTCCCTTTCATTTTTTTTTCAGGTCAGCAGAGATTTTTTTGCCGAACAATTGGCGGTATCATTCTTTCTTAATTCTTAATCAGACCATCGAATTATTGTTGAATGTAATAATAATGTGAAAGCTTACACCTCGCAGACACACAGCCTCTGCCACTAAATGTATATACAAAGATATTATATACAGACGATATAGAGAGAGACTAAACGTTTTTTAATTAATTAGTCGGAAGAAAACACATTCGGAAAGAAAGAAAAAAAAATACCATATACGAAACTTATATCACACTCCGGAGAAACGAGATACTTGAATTCGCTTCGGTTCGTCGTATCAATGTACAATCTACTAGAAAAAAAAAAGAAAGAAACAAGAGCGAAAGATTTTAGGCGTTTATATTTTATCCGAGCGATATTTCCTGATGTTATACAACCACACCACTGCAAAGAAAGACTTCAAAGTTCAAACGAGCGTAGCGATTTGTAACGAGAGATTGGTACCTAAGTGTAATATATACAAATTGAAGTGGAAGACGGGGAGCTTTGAATAGTGCCTGCTTAAAATCCAATTTATTATATATCTCAAACAACAAATAGGTATGGTCGAACAATTAGTCGTTTGCGGCATTGCACGGTCGGATTCGAATACGGCGAGATCGGTCAACGAGAGACGACAGTCTACATACAAAAAAAAATGCGATTCACTTTTGATCAGAGAGATGAGAAAGATGAGAAGAAAGATGTAGATGAGAGTTTATACACATCCTGCGTCACGTCTTTTCTAATATTAATCAGTATGTCGTTGAAGAGTTATATATCTAAATGAATATACCATCTCGTTGAATGTTAATGAAGATATTCCGACGATTAAAGATACGTTTGCACAAATGGCATAAGAATTCCGATTTCCCACCGAACTGCACGCGGCTCCTTGACCAATCGATCCGCTTCTGCCACGTGTGCGATGTCGCAAACGAGAGACGTTTCATAGAGTGATACCGTAGCGCGAATACCGGAAGACAAGTAATGCACACTTTAAAAAGCTTTGACTACCTTAATATTGTATAAAGACGACACACAAACGCGACGAAAAAAAAAAATAAAGGAAGAGCGTATCCGAAGACTGTTAACGAAAGAGGGGCGATCAAACACGCGAAGTAATTAACACGTAGTTGTACAAGCTACAATCCGAGCTCAATAGCGCGTTTACGTTGATGAAACCTTTCATAATATCGACAGCTTGCGTATCTGTATTTTTAATTTTACGTTATTATGGGGATACGCCGCCGATGTGTTGCAACGGCTCGTATTTCATAGGTTTGCTATTCTATATAAAAAGCGTTTGTTAACACCACATATTCTTCCCCTATTCTACGCGAGATTTCCCATTATTTGATATTATATAAGTGTACATAAAAAGAAAAAAAAAGGTGGTAATTGTATATAAATACTGTTACTGTTCTACAAACTATATATTATGTAATATGAATATATAAGAAAAAAAATTGGTTATTTAGTATAACTTTGATTGTGAGATTTTTGACTTACGTTTATTTCGGGCTCCTTCACTTGCAAGACCGTGTCCAGGACTGACGCACCGATCACCGTCTGAATAAAACGTCGACATAAGTATATGCTTCGAGTAGAGATAGTGAAATGACTTATTTATTACTGTGTCAGCCTTGAATGTTACGATAAGGCATATCGGTAAGGTAATACCTCAACGTTACGTTTACTCGTGCGTTTTAAACTTCGTTTTCACGAAAAATTTTACGTTTTCTTTCAGACTTACCGGTTTTTGCTTTGATTTCATCATTCGTACGGAAGCAGGTCTTGTATGGGCTGTCTTTTCATAGAGATTCAAAGCGATTTCGGCTGCGATCCTGGCATTGTTTTCCACGAGCGCTACGTCTGTAAAATCGCCGTAAGCCGATAGTTTTAAACGTAAGCAATTGCATCTCAACGCATTTTACACATCGGAATCTCTAATTTCGCATTCACTCACTCGCTTCGAGAGACTGTCCGCGCGTAATGACGTTGAGCTCACTTAGGAGGAACGGTGTAACTTGCTTGCCCGTTACGCGCATAGCATCGGCCTTCTTTAGAGCCTCGGAAATAGCAGTATCCACGACACTAGGCTGCAACGAATATTTTTCAGGAATGGAGACCGCAAATAATATTCCCGTGTTAATGCCCAACATTCCCTGTGTCTCCACAATACCGGCTGCTTCCTTGGCATTGGAGACTCTGCACGGCGCTTTTATCTTGTCCGAAGTTTCGGAACAGTAGAAAGCTGGAAATTCCGGCGTTTCGCCTATTTTCACGACCGGCACTCCCTGAGTTTCCTGCGAGCATAAAATTCGTATTTCTACGTCAATTTCTGGAAGCAAAGCGGACGTTAACAAGAGAGTTGCAACGAGTCGTGGAGAAATTGACTGTATCCACGTATAATATTTACCAAGTACTCCAAAGTCTTGCCAATGTCCAGGATTGATTTGACACCGGAGCAGACAACTGCCACCGGCGTGCGTCCAAGCTCAATCAGATCGGCACTGATATCGAGAGTCAGCTCGGCTCCCCTGTGAACACCACCGATACCACCTGTTGCCATAATTGGAATACCAGCTACGTGTGCAATTAACATCGTGCCGCTGACCGTCGTACCGCCATTCAATCCGTGGGACAGAATGAAAGAGATATCCCTGCGCGAGCACTTTATCGTCCTTGCGGAGTCGGCTTTGGACAAGATCTCCAGCTGTTCGTTGTTCAAGCCTACGTGCACCTTGCCATTTATGAGTCCTATCGTTGCAGGTACGACACCCTGAAGTAACAAGCAAAAAATTTGTCAATTGTGGAATCGCGATAGATTAACTCTCTCATCGATTTTTTGCAATATATTCAATATGTTAATTTATAAAATGTTTTTAGCCTCAACGATGAGATTTACACAACACACTCGACTATATAGAAAGACCTTTCAATTAAATGACAGGAACTCGTAAATTTCTGTAACTTTACACTACTTTCGATTCATCCTGAGGCAGTATTCTGTACATGCTTACAATAATAATAAAAAAAAGTTGCGCAACATTTGACATCGACAATCATCGGTGTGCAGAATACTGCCCTTGGAAAAAAAAACTCGGACGTTATACAAACTTGCTTTCTGATTGCGTCCTCGACCTTCAGCGCGGTGTTCAAGTTATCGGGGTACGGCATGCCGTGCGTGATGATCGCCGATTCCAGTGCCACGATGGGTAGACCATGTTCCAGGGCGGCCGCGACGTCCGGCTCGTAGACAAGCGAGCCCCGGCCGGCGATCGATCTCCGATGGATCGCCGGCACGTCGGATCTCCTCCACAGTCTTGCCGCGAGAGTGCTTAAACGGGCTCGGTGCATACCTATCGGCGACGAAACGATTGTACAGAACACTTTCGGCACGATTTGTTCCTTCGCTTTTAGATAAGACCGACGTGTGAGTGATCGCGATGACCAAACGTTATTTGAAACGAATTGAGATAAACTGATAGAACAACGTGAGTGCCGATACGTGGCGAGAGGAGCGAAACCGATACTTTATTTTATCGTTTTATTGCCGCAGCGTCGCGTTACGAACTTTATTTTTCTCGTTGTATTATCTTCGTATGACGAGATCGATAAAGATCCTTATCCGATGTCGATTATCCGTCTCGATCGCATCGCCGGCAACTGTAAGAATTGCTCCACGTAGCCGCAGCTTCACTGTTGATATACCTCCTGCGTTTAAAACAAAACAGATGTTTGACATTAGGGAGAACGAGAGGGAGGATGTAAAAGTTCAAAGGCGAAGTATTAGATTTCAAAGAACGAACTTCCTGTTAACCATGAATTCAACGATATAGTGGAAATCCTACGCTGCCTACGTGTCAAAAGTTGCTCCAAGTGGACGGACGGGGCCGCGCGGCCGCGTGCGAACGTGCGTCCGCGTCTCGATATTCGTGCATCGTGACTGATTGCGACGTGCAGCGCTGACAGCTCGGTATCCTCGACACGTGCGGAGAATTGAACTTTAGAGATGATTAGGAAATGAACGGCAACAGCTCGTATCGTATGTGCAGCGGAAAGCCGAAAATGCTGGTTAACAGGGTTACCTCATGCAGCTTATGCTGTCGCTGGCCGATTCAGGCATAGTGAGCAGAATTGCATTTGCACCAATGCATTATGCACCCTACTTTACCCTCTATGTTTTTTTTCTCCGGCGATTGGCCGGAGTGACCGGAGTCCCGAGTCGGTCGACCGCCAGAAGAGAGGGAGAAGCTCGGCGTAAGTTCTCATTATGCCGAGATAAAACAGTATTTTTGCTCTCGATTGTATGTATGTACAATATTAAATTAATTATCGAAAACGATTTCAGATTTTTTTTTATACCAACAGTCATGAATAGTCATGACGCATGTATAATATAGATATACGACGAGCACATGATCTCCGCTCCGGTACGGCGTACGCCTCAAATGCATAACTTCATGCGAAAAGCCTCTCTTCTGGCGCCAGATGAGATAAAAGTTGAACGAGATGATGACAGAGAGTCTGTTCAATCGTGAAAAATTTGTATATAAAGATAATTTCGATTTAATCCCAATTAATTTGATAATCAATATCAAATAATATCTATACTATTTTAAATAATAGATAAAAATAGATTTTTGTTATTTTGTTTTTGATATTAATTATTATAATTAATTCTTTTTTATTTAACGTGTGAAAGAAAGATTCGACTAAGGACGAATAATACATACAGTTAAAAATTTTTTTTTTAAGTAATTTTTGCTAGTTGGGCAATTTTTATCAAATGAACTTAACGCGGTGATTAAGTTAATTTGGTTGAAATTGCCCAAAACTGTCGCACTTAAAAAAATTAAGTAATGAAAATAATGTTTATTTTCCAAAAACATTTAACGTGCGAATAATTTTTGAAACGTTTCTTAAATATTTATTGCATGTGGGTTGCATAGAAATTAGAAAATAATATTGATTTAACTAATATTATTTGATTCTCGTTATCTCATAATTCTCGATAAATACAAGAAAAATTTGGTAGATCTAGCGAGAAAAAAAGATAACAGCAATCACACTACTTCGCAGTCACAGCGAATATAAATGTCATCGGTAAATACTTATATAATATACTAATCATTTAATTATTTTGTATAACTATCTCATCCGCGTTTATGTTGACAATTTGTTATTTACATATCGCGACATTTGCGACGATCCTATCGATTTGACGTCAATTTTCGGGAAGCGGATTTCGCACACGTATCGACATATTTCCCAATATGATGATTTCCACGTAATTAGAGCAGGGCAGATTGGAGATGACCGCGGATGTTTCTCAGAACTCCGGGGCTTTTCGAGACGATCGACTATGATAAAACTGATTTTTTTTTTAATGCTCCCCCAAGGCGTTCTCGGCCGAGATTATCGATGTTGCGAACAGCTAAATTCGCTCCGACCTCGCAGCCGTCGAGATTACAAGATCATCAAGGGGTCAATCTTAGTCGCGTCTGCACGAGTGGGGAGAACTAGCGCGACTGGCGTTTCTCGCGCGTATATCAGTGGTGGATCCAGAGAGTTGTTCTGAGGGGGAGGGGGCGGTATGATGAAATGTGAATATTTAGTTATTATTGTCGTTAATGTTATTTTTAATATTTTTTATTATTTAAAAAAAATTGAGTGAACATTATTTGGTCTCGAATAATCTCTGATAATTTTTTTTCTCAATTCATTTTAAATCGACTTTTTCCAATATACAAAATTTGTTTGGAGAGCTCTAGGGGAGGGAGGGGAGGGACGATCGTTCCCCTCCGTTCCCCCCTTGTTCCACCACTGGTATATATAAGATAGGATTTTTTCCGACGAAGTTTCTGCACATTTCGAGTTCAAGGGTGGAAAAGCGCGGTGGGATGTGTGATTCCCGGACGCGTGCGACGTTATTCATTCCACATATATACCGTACCGACGCCGTCAAACGGCACGTAGTGCGCGATATTCTTACTTCGAAGTATACCAAGCGAGAATGTCTCCGATCAAGGAGCCGCTGTCCCGCATGCAGAGTGAGGATAAGTATGCGCTTAGTAGATCGATGAGAGACAGGGAATCGTGTTGTTCGAGGGATGAAGATGAGAAAAGGTATAGTTCCTTCTAACTAAGATCTCTCCAAACATTTCGTTAGATAAATATGTATAAATAAATTATGATCGTACCAAACCGCGGAGACAAATATGTTTACGAAGAAAATATTATTGCAAGAGCATCAATGTCTTCGTTGTTTTACGGGAGAAATTGTGGTAATTGATATCGTAATTATTTCTCGCGACAAAATAAAACAAACTTGTGCAAAAACAACTGAGGTTTCTGAGATTTCGTTCTCTCTCGTAGAATTCGATCGAATAAAGTGTACACAGGGCGTTAGACTTGCAGGGATACTGGCTGACATACATATATAATATGTGTACATATATATGTATATTCAAAATGTATTGTGCCCCCGCAAATTCCTGCAAATTCAGGTGGCTAGGTATTTCTGACGCCGTGTGTACTTTACTCGGTCGAATTTCACGAGAGAGAAAAAAATCTCAGAAACCTCAGTTGCTTTTGCACAAGTTTGTCTTATTTTGTCGCGAGAAATAATTGCGATGTCGATACAGTAAATTTAGACGTGACGGAAAATAGACTAATCTTAAAACCCACTTTAGACGACCTATAATTCGTATCAGAATTCAAGATAGAATCCTATTTCTAATTTTATACCGTGTAAGAAAAAAATATTTCGATGTTCAAGAATATACATGTATGAATAATGAATCAGGATGTATCAAAATGCGGCGATCGTATGAAATTATAAATAGATATCTGCCTCTTGCAATTTGAACGCGAATTATAGATCGGCTAAAATGGGCTTAATTAAGCCGATTGTTATATATATAAATCGTCCTCGTATCGCGGTTTAAAATACAACTGTGTTCATAGTGCGCATCGTAATTTCTACTGATGCGATCGCGGTGAAAATCAATGGCCCATTGTTAATTTTTATATATATAGCAACAAGTGCTCCATCTTGTGACAATATTATATAATTTAAATTCTTACAGTAACATTACATTTCACAAACGGAAATTCTTACAGTAACATTACGACAAACGGAATATTATATAATTTATATAATATTTTCTTTGTGTACAAAATACGTTGGAAAGAGATAGAAGAAAAATATCGTGTGAACGAATGAATTAAGAATTTAAATGATAAATAAATTCTTCCTCGCCCTTGAATTTCTGATTCGAATGAATCAAAGTACCACGGTTTGATAAATAAATTCAGAAAGGATTTGCGTTTAGGGGCGAGTACGAGTTAGGCGCTTACGGTTACGGCAAGAACAATGTCAAGTTGTTATACGTGCGTCGAGATAATGAGCTGCGACACGAGATACGCGAGTACGAGGTCGACACGCACTTGCGTCTCAGCTCCCAGAAAGATTACCTCGAGGGTGACAATCGCTCCATCATCGCGACGGACAGCCAGAAGAATACGGTGTACCTGATGGCGCGGAAGCACGGCATTCACTCGCCCGAGGCGTTCGCGCTTCTGCTTTGCTCTCACTTCCTCTACACGTACGAACAAGTGGCGGAAGTCAGTATCAACGTCGAGGAGTACCCGTGGGCCCGATACCACGTTGACAATCAGCCGCACAATCACGCCTTCATTATGTCCCCCACCGCGACGAGATTCTGCCAAGTCAGTCAGCTCAGAAATGGTAACGGCTCCGAGAGAAATGATTAATTGCGCGAATCTCTGTCACGTATCCAGCTCGCTGTGATTAATTCAGAAAGTGAAAAACAACAATGAGTGTTGAAGAAGTAATTCACATTAATTGAATCAGACATAGAAAATAAATGTGTTTTGAGATCGGATAAAATCTATTTTAAATGAATAGATTTAGTAGAATTAGTTTTTCCTACCTGGCGTGATTTTTTATATTATTGCTCTTGTAAGAAAACAATCATTAAGTTAAAAATAAAATGACGCGTAAAGTGCGAAAGTTATATAAATTATGAAAGTTCAGTACTGAGATTACTTTTTGTTCTATTAAAATTAACACAATGCTTTCCAACGCATATTCGATGGATGCGTGCATTTGGCATTCTATTATCATCATATAAAAAGAAAATTCATTTTATAAAGCTAATTATTACGAACTGAGAAAATATTTCGACAAGCAGAAAATTAGCCTGTTAAATTTTCAATCGGGATTACCTTGGTTGTAGAATCACCACGAATACGCGGTGGATTAAAGGGGCTGCGAGTGTTGAAGACCACGCAGAGCTCATTTACAGACTTCATTCAGGACGAGTACAGGACGTTGCCGGACATGAACGATCGTATTTTCAGCACTGTCGTAACGGCGACCTGGGACTTCTCCACCGCGACCGGGGTGGATTTCGACGGTGTGTGGCACATGGTGAAGGAGTGCATTATGCAGAATTTCGCGGGTCCACCGAACACGGGGATTTACTCGCCCAGCGTGCAGAATACGCTTTATCTCGCGGAAAAGTGCATACTTGATAAAGTCAAACAAGTAAGCATTAGCATATAATTGTCACACAAAGTAGATAATAGTTTAGGTATTCTACTTATTTCATAATTTTTTTTCAAAAAATATACCTTAATATCATTTAACGTTAATAAATTAAAATAATTAAACATTTAAAAAAATATAATTTAATATTTATTAAATTATTTTACCTTACTTGTTATGTGTGCACTACGCGGGAAATAAAATATTTGCAGATTCATAGCATCGAGATGCAAATGCCAAACAAACATTACTTCGATGTGGATCTCAGCAAATTCTCCAAAGTTATACAAGGGCAGAACAAGGAGGTTTATCTACCCATGGATAAGCCATCGGGTATTATCTATGCTCGATTAAACCGAAAAAATGTCTCTGCCAAATTGTAGATATGGTATGTAAAGACATGTATGATTTTTAAGTTTTTAATAAAGTTTAAGTTTTCTATAATTAATTTTATGTATAACTCTACGAAAGATCTCAAATAAATATATCTAAAGCTCACTTTAGACGATCTATGATTCACGCCAGATTTCAGGATAGAATTCTACAATTTTTATACGTTATGTAATTTCTTCTCGTTATATATTTTATAGCACGTATAAAATTATAAATAGAAATGTTATATTCAATATTTGAAATTCTGTTGCAAATGAATTATCTAAAACAACTCTAATAATATCACAGGATGTGGGACAAAAAACGCTCAAGTTGCAAAAGAGAATCTTTTAATGGGGTTATTATATCGGACTATGAAAAATTTCACGTCTAAGAATTTACTTCTAAAATAGATTACAATTTATAGGCAGATATGCTGATATTGGCTGTGGATTTATACGATGTGCCTCCGGCATGGTGGGAAATGGAATGCGTGAAATACGGGTGAATCGAAGTCCTGTCGCTGAGGATTTCGCCGAGAATAACCTCTTGATTAATCGATGCAGGCTCAGTCACATACCCGTGAGGTCGCGATTAACGTCGCTGATGAGAAGTAACGTAGTGCGATTGACGGACCGCAGGTACATGATGCGGCTCGCGTCGAGGCTGCAGGAGGATTACGAGGCGCGGCAAAAGAATCGCATCGAAGGACGGAAGTTGAAGGTCACCTCGGTCGTGCCGCAGCTGCGTGAACTGTTGTCCGGGTTGTCGTTGCCGAAGACACCTCGGCGACGTCGTAAATGCGCGCCGAAATTTCACGCGGACGCGGCTAAAAAATGCAAGCAACTTCCGCAGCTGTTACTCGCGGACCATTCAAAACCCCATGTATAAACGCGCGATAATTCGCATTTATTTTGGCCGCGAAAAAATCTAAACGCAATCCAACGAGAAATACAGCGAGTCAAGGAACATTTCGAGACGTCTGTTATACGCGTAATAAATAACAAGCCATTGTGAAATTTACATCAGCTAAGCGAAGTAGAAGTTTTTTAATTAGCTAATCTAAAGCTAATCTAAATAAGCTAAACTGATGAAGATTCGATGTGACGATTGGTGATAAATTTTAATCACAACTGTTAGTTTGAAGGGCGAGAAATGGGTGCCTCTGCGAAGCGAGGGAGGGCCCTTAAGTCGTCGCCATCTCCGCCCGTCTCTGCCGCGACTTCCTCAACGGCAGATGAAACACGAGCGGCCGGTTGACGGGCACTCGCACCAGTATTCCGTTGGAGTTACGATCGATCGTGTCGTGCACATCGTCGGTGCCTGCGAAAAAAGATCGCTATTTTTAATATCGCGAGATCGCCCGCGGTGGTCCTTGTCTCACCCGTCGATGAGCGATGCGAACGATCGATTTTTCCGCGTCGCGCGCGCGGAATTATACCCACCTAGAATCTCCTCGCTCCAAAGGTCGTCCCATAGATCCGGCTCGGACAGATGTTGGAGACCCGACGACACGATTAGCGACGGATCGGGCGTGTGTCTGTAATGATAATCCGACCAGCCGTACGACGCGAGAGTGTCGCTGGAAAAAAATAAAACGCTCGGGTTTAGCCCGTCGTTAGCAAGGCGCGCGTGATACGTAACGTTTGCAAATAAAGCTAAAGGATCGGCGTCCGATGGTGATTGCAGGTTTTCTCACGCGCAGCGAATACGAAAACTAAAGTGAACTTGGAATATCACTTTCCCTCGGCGCGATGACTTATTATTTCTCTAAACAGATTAATTTTTGCAAGACGCAACTGAGTCGCGCGCGAAACGAGTTTAATCCTTTTTAATCATCCTCTACATTTACTAGAACATACTCGTAAAGTCCGTCGAGATAGTATTTATCCGGTGCTTTCGTCCACGCTAATAGAGGGAAAGGCATCGGATAATAATGTATGTGGTAGTGCTGTTCGTGGCTCGTCCTAGGCAGCTTTTTCGCCTTCAGAGATTGAAAGAATTCCGTCAGTGCCTTCTTAGGGCTGCAACGTGAGGGAACGTGTTACGAATAATTGAAGACGGAAAAGCGGAAAGAAGAAGTAGCATGGCACACTTGTCGTCGCTGTTGCGTACAAATTTTCGATCAAGACTCAATTTTCTTCTTTACAAAAGTATTAAAGAGTCGATAAATTATAAATTATAATTTTTTTTAAATTATAAATTTCAAAAAACTTTTTAAAAATATCTAAGCTTCGGAGCAACTAACGGATGATAAAAAGCTTATCATTTAAACGATCGCAAAGCTATTTTAGTCGAAAAGATTAAATAGACATAAAAGGTTCGCAGTAAAATATAGTTTATTAGAAAGTAGATGTAATTTCAACTTAGAAATATGATTACTAAAATATTTAACAAATTGTGGATTTAACAAATTTAAGATAATTAAATTTTCGAATAATAAGAATTTATTCAAGATCGAAAAATTCACAAGTCAATGAAGATAAGACTCCCTGTACAGAACTAAATTATTCTTTTGAATTCTAATAACTTATAAGTATGAAGAAAGTAAAAAAATACACACTCACTTAAAAAAAAATTCTTCCGAGGATCCGGCCAAAAGCATCACAGGCAGCGCCAACTGGAAATCACCATAACGATTAATCTGTAATTTCCTTTTTTTTTCTAATTTTATGCTCGATCGTTTACGCGTATCCTAATTAAATTCGGCGATCTCGAATGACATTTAATGTTATATATTATACGATTAACTTTATTGGCGCGTCCGCGCGCTGAGTTACTCAATTATTTATTAGCAAACCACAGAGTACACAAGTTGTTGGAGCCGAGCTGTTAACGTAGCACTTCCTCTACACAATGAAGGACAAACGCCGTGAGAATCCCAAATTTACGGCCGTTTTTACATCCGCCACTAAGATATATCTGACTCGCTGGTCGTTTTACTTGCAACATCAGCCCGGCCCTCATGCTGCAGCACCAACTGGAAGGATTGGTCGGATTGGCCGCTACGTCCGCAGTCAGCGATATAACGACAAACTGGAGAATTTCGACGAAACTGGATCGCTTTATAGCCGGCGCTCTCTTACCCTCTTTCTCTCCACGCGCTCGTACTTTTCATTTTTCCCTCGGCTACGGTTCATCAGGCGGTTGCCTGATGAAACGACTTTACGTTTCGAGAAGCACGTCGCATTGTCGTAATCACTTCCCCCCCGCGGGCTACAATCTGCGTGGCATTGCGTGCGACATGTTATTATGAATCGTTAAATAGCGTTTAATAATTTTAAGTATAGACATAAGACTATCTTTTAATATGACATTTATTGATGAGAAAGCAAGAAGAGTAGGGCTTTAATTTCTATCATCGTTAGACGTGATTTTTTTCTCATCGTTTGTTTACTGTGATGGTTTTAATTTTTCCTTTACTAGGAGAGAGAATTGATTCGAGATCGAGTTGCACAAATAAACTTGCTTTAAAAATTCTTTCATTTAATTACTTGAAACATCTGTTAAATTAATCACGAATTGATCATCAAAATTCTTTCATCAATCTCCTCTCTTCAGCGAGATTGAAAGATCTCGACGTAATGACCGGTAAAGAAACGCATTTGCACATAATAAGGGCAACAATAAACGTACCACTTTACATCTACTTTCTAATAAACTATATTCTACTGCGAACCTTTTACGTCTATTTAATCTTTCCGACTAAGCTGCATTGAACTGCATCTTACACGTTTTTACACTGACAACAATGTCTTACGTATCTATTTGAGACTTCCGTTTTCTTGCTGCAACCACCAATGCTGCATCGAGAAATCATATTAACATTTTTCTTGTGGATATACATCGAAATAAATTAACGTTTTCATATGGCACTCGCGCTTTCGATAATAGAAATTGATAAAATATACCGGAAACCCCCCCCCCCCCCTTTTTAATATCCCGCATACGCAAATGTAACACGTATAATTCAATCCGCGTGTGTCTTGCGTTTTCCAGTGCATGCGAAAGTACAGTTATCATGATCGAACAAGATTTGCAGCTATCTCCGAGAAGATCGAGAATCCCCTTCGGAGATATTTTGCCAATATCTCTATTACATGAATGTGTTGCAAAAAATAAATGCAGAGTTAATATATTTCTCCGTACATAACTCAGGCAAAATATTATAATCTATTTCGATGCACATTATTTATAAAAAAAAAAAAAGATTAATTTCTCGCTTCTGACGTTACAACTCAATAAAATTGATGCAGCTGAAGATTGGGAGGGAGGAAAGGGAGAGGATAGGATGCGATGCAATGCTTCGTGGATTACGTCTCACACTTCAACTACGGCGCATCTAAAATAAAAACAATAAGGAGGCTTCGAGTTTATGAATAAACGTATAATCGGCGAGACGCAAATTCGCATCGTTGTTGTATAGGACGTTGCTGAAAATGCACGAGAATGCGCGAAAAGCGTAGGATTCACTCTAATGGATCGACTAACTGGAAATCGGCGCTTTACTAGTGCACAGGATGTACCACATGCGATTCTAATCGCGAGGATTATTACGATTATGCCTCGCGGGCACCTTTCACATTCGCCCATAAAACGGAAGATGAAGAAAGGTGAAACTGACATTGTGTCGGATGCTTATCGTCGCCGTGACAGCGAGTCCACGGAGTAATTATCACATTTCCACGGACGTACACACGTCATGCACATGTCGCGCGTAAATCCGCAAATAGATATAAATACACAATGGCGATCGTTTTTCACCGATTTTTTTTCTTCGAAATTCACTTTTATCTCTTCCTTAATTCTTACTTTTTTTTCCTTCTACTTTACAGTTTATCTAACTTCTAATTTGTAAGTTTCTTTTCTCATTTCGCACGAAGCGCGCTCTCTAAATTTTCTGGAGTGAATCTCACTCCAAAAGAGTGAAAAGTCACTCCAGAAAATTTAGAGAGCGGAAACTAAATTTTGTTCGAAAAAATATTTTGTAATTAAATAAAAAAATATATATTTCACATTTATATATAAAAAAAAAGAAAAATCAATAAACGAAATCCTCATACTATAGAGAAGATATTCTCTGTCTATTTATAGAAGATTTATCGTCTCCTTAAACAGTAGTCATCCTAACTTTGTTACCAGCGATTATAAATTTCACATGGTGTGTATGTTACTTTTCTTTCCAGGGAAATGATCGATGTCATTAGCGCAATTTCACAGCTTATGAAAGCGCGCCGTGCCGCGCGCGACGTGATTCGCGGGATAACGATTCGATCTTTTCTCGCGTTTGATCGCCCGCTCGATAGATTTATTCGAACAATTTGTCCGCCGTGCAGTGAGGCGCAAATTGGCATTTATGGTCGTTGATGTATCGGCAATGAGCCTGACAAGTGTGTTGCGCTTAATCAGTTTCGCCGGGACGGAGACGTCAGAGGACGTACATCATGCGTATATACGTCCTACTAGCATGATAATCTCTGAACCGAAGTCGCGCGCGCGTAAAGGAGTGCGCCGACGGGGCGACTTTCCTTTACGCGCGCAACGACGACAATGCAGACGCGCGCGACGACCGCCGCGGGCCACGAGGCTGATGACGACGACGACGACGACGCGGACGGGTAAATAAACGGTTTTCTGTTTCGTGCAACGCGCGCGCGTCCGGAGGCACGGGGCGGATTCGCAGCCGGACGTTGTCATTACGGGTGACTGCGAAATAACGGTCATCTACTCTTTTTTTTTCTCCTCCAAACGGGAACGGGGAACAATGGTTATTTACACTACTCACGATACACTTCCAAGACACGTGCGTGATTATCGTCATTTGCATCGAGCGCTCTGTGCGCGGAGCCGCGCGGCGGCCGTCGTTCCACATCGCATCGGGATTAGTTCAGTCGGACCCGATAACAATAATATCGCGAGAGGGTTCACCGGGATATACGCTACTTTCGACGACGCGTCGAGCGAGAGGCGGGACGGGAAGGGGGCCGAAGGGAAAAGTGGATGAATTAGAACGAATCGAGAGCGAGATGTACAGCGAAGACTACGAATCTGCCCGAGTCATCTCCCTATAAGTCTTTTGCGCGGCCCGCACTTCCTCGCGGCCGCGACGGCGCGCGGCGCCTTCCCCGTCATTGCCCGCTTCTGTCATCGCGATTGATTATGGGGACCAACCCCTGCGCGTACGGGGGGGAACTTTCCCTACGAGAGAAAGCCGCGGTGCCGCAAGGTCATGGGCGACGGCGCGCGCTCGGAAAATTGTCCGAGTAAACCGGTTTACCGATTCCTTACGATCGATCCGTCGTCGCCGCGCCGCGCGGCGCGTCGTCGCTATCATCGATAATATATTATATATATATAAATATATAT